CGATTCCCCACATGGGTACAATGCGTGAAGCCCATTTCTGGTGTCCCCTGCGGTGATGTTGTTGGAATATTGCTAAAAGAGGCATAAAACAATACAACTCACTCACTCACTAACTATACTGACTACTGTGGTTCATTAATTGGTTTGGATGTGGCCTGCAGCGGTGACAAAGCATTAGCAAGATGCGAATTTTAAAATCTGCAAAAGTGAATAAAGTGGCTCCGCTATGTGTACGGTTAATTCCTTGTACTGCGAGTTCGGACTTGAGACCCGCAGTTAACCTTTCTAATTGGGTGTATTATCCACGTTCGAGACCGACAAGGATCTAGGGTCCGTGAATTTTTTTAAATTAGATGCTCTAATGCATTTTCCTGCTTTTATGTAACTCCATATTTTGTAATGACTCCATTTGTGTAATTTCCAATTTTGTATAAAATATTATTATCCCCTGCTTCGTTTGACCACTTTTTGTCATGTTTTTTTAAAAAAGGTCCTTGTTCAAAATTGTAGCATCTGTACATAATGTTCTGAACTAAACTTTATAAATATGTTTAGACATATCTGCATATATGCAAAACAACCGTTTTGTTCAGTTTAAGTATTAATATACAATAGTTGTATTACTAAATTCAGTTGACAGTGCAGGAATTGCACGTGAACTTTTACAACATATACATGATATCTTCAGGTTGGTTCAATATTTTGGAGTCATATGGATTGAATGCAATCTTTGTTCTAATTAAGTCTTCTGTTCGTTAATTATCATTTGGTATTGCACAATATACCTTCAGTTTTATAGGGTTCCGAGTAGTCTATGTCATTGCCCTGGATTCCTTATTTCATTTATTAACGGTTGTTGGAATCATATGTAATTTGGTGTATCATTTTGGTTCCGATTATTTGTCAGATGGGCTGCCCGCTATCTTTGCGTCATTAACTGAAGTGTGGATTTCAGGGCTGCGGTGAGGGTATATGACACTCAAAAGAGTGTTATATCAACACTTTGATGTACAAAACATAACCTGTAAAATAGTTTATATGGGGGGTGGGGGGCGCGCCGGTTTTATAGCGCTAGGTATAGTATGACCAGAAATTATTGAGAATTTTAGGAATATGTTTAATTGGATTTCAAGTATAAACAACCTTGACCAGCTATCAAGTGCTTGGTTTCATTCAAGAGAAACAACTCCGTTAATCCTTTTCATTGGTTTGTGAAGAGTTATCCCCCTTTGTTTACTTGCTAGCAGGCGACATTTTCAGTGATCCTCAGTATGGATGATTTAGAGAAGAGGAAGTTGATTTTAGAGTATTATAACAAGGACATTAGATCAGCTAAAGTCATTTCAAGTAGAACAGGCACCCCTTTGTCCACTGTTTATCGTGTTTTGAAAAATATTCCTAATGGATATGGCAATGAGTACCAGGGATTGGTATTCTTGTTTCTAAAAACAAACGAAGGCGTTTAGAAAACTTAAGGCTGGATATGATTGATAGAGGAACTGTGGTTGTCTGTAAGGAGACAATTAGAACTGAGCACCATGCAATGGGTTGGCAGAAAAGTCGAGGAATTCCATCACCGATCATGAAACCTGAACAAAAGGAGCGAAGGTTGAACTGGTGCTTACAGCATAGAAATCTTAACTGGGGCAATGTGATTTTCTCAGATGAAAGTTCTGTGTGGCTGTTTCCTAATACACTGAAATTCTGGACCAAACAAACTGAAAAACCTTTGTATCAGCACCCAAAGTACAGTCCGAAATTTAACGTGTGGGGGGGCATATCTGTGTTAGGGGCAACCGGGAGCAGTACTGCAGTAAATAGGGTTTTACGAAATTGTGGACTGTTTAACCCAGTTCTAGTCGCTACAAACGCCCCTCTGTATTTGGAAGGGAATATGAACAGTGAGCGGTACACAGATATTCTCGAGGGACATTTACTTCCATCTGCTCACGTGTTCTATGGAAATTTTTGGATTTTCCAGCAGGACAACGACCCAAAACATCGTTCAAAGCATTCACAGGCCTGGTTTCGGACCCACAATATGACATTATTAGATTGGCTAAGCTACAGCCCTGACCTAAATCCAATACAAATGTTTGGGGACTTATGAAGGAAACTGTCAATAAGAAAAATCTGACAAATATTGCTGAAATGAAAAAAGAGGTGGCCCGATATTGGGACAGCATGGACCACGACTTTCTAACTTCTTTGATCAGTAGTATGCCCCGCCGCATTGAAGCCTGCATTGCTGCCCATGCTGACTTGACAAAATACTAACTGTTCACCTGTCTTTGAATCTGGAGTTATGTTCTGCTAATATTCACATTTAATACGTGAGTAATGAGTGAAAACAATATAAAAAATTACAATCTTTAAATTCTCAATAATTTCTGGTTGTACTGTATCTTAGTGTTATAATCTGTTATTGTAGTAGAAGGTATTTATGTCGATGCAAAATACCTTTCATCTAATATTAATAAATACGCTCTCAAGTGCTTCTGTATCAAGTTTACATTTGCAAATGCTTCATTAGAATTCCAGACTTTACCGACCTAAAACACGTTAGAAAACAAAATCTTGGACTGACATAAAGATTAAGAATAAGGTTGCCTCAATCCCAGAAATACGGTTGCCTCAATCCAAAGTGAGTGAGTGAGTTTAGTTTTACTCCGCTTTTAGCACTAATCCTACAATATCACGGCGGAGAACACCAGAAATGGGCTTCACACATTGTACCCACTCAACCCCAGAAATAAGGTTGCCTCAATCCAAGAAATATGGTTACCTCAATCCCAGAAATAAGTTGGTGGAAGGACTGGTAGTCTAGACCACGTACTTTGGGTACCCTCTGACTTGGCTAGGCTTCCAAAGTTATGTTATGAAAATTTATGAATACATTATGCAATTTATAAAGTGATCAAATGTATCACTTTGATTGTATATATTTGGAATTACGCTTTCTCAGTAAAGTACAGATTAAACTATACTCCTCACAAAAAGTTAAGCAACAAATATTGTCAGTGTAATATCTTTGTCAATCTCGATAGCGATTTTTGCCGACATGTTACTGAAAGGTTAATATTCAATGAATACATAACCCTTAGTGACTGTCAAATTGATTTATCTGATAACACTGACAGCACCCGAGCACAACCACCCTCAGAAACAACATGCAAAATGTGTGGCATGAATGTGCTCCACTCTTCACACATGCACCTTATCCGGTGTAAACCTACCTGTAATCATTCCTCTGCTACAACAAGCGGGTCCTAACTTATTTTTTTCGTGGATGATAATGCCTGAGAAAGTGTTGTTAACGATGTTGCTTAGATCAACAACATCACACATATGGACTGACCTGCAAGGTCACTTGATCTAAATCCCATTGAACATGCTTGGGACATTATTGGAAGTCGTGTTTACGGTCTCCATGTTCACCCCCGACTCTAGATGACCTTGAGCAGGCGTTACAGAGAGAATGGCCAAACATTCCACAACAGCAACTTTAAAGGCTCATTTGTTCAATGCAAAGACGTGCAGAAGCTTGCATTTGTGCTCATGGTGGTCATTCGCGTTACTGAACACTGCTTCACTGTCCAAAACTGACTTGAACCTTAATGTTAACTTTTTGCTCCATCAGTGCAGCACATTTTGCACGACTGGTTAACGGGTACATGCTTTTGATGATTTATAAGTCTATTATTGCTCAATACCATTTTATTTCATTTTGGTAATCGTGTGTACATATGTTTCACCTTTCTATTGCATCATTCCATGATTTGCAATTTCAATAAATGAAAATGTAATGAGAATAAAACTGAACTTTTTGTGAGGAGTATACTTTTGTTGGGTTGAGTCCCTTCTGGGATTCGAACCCACACTCAGTCAGGCACCTTATCCAAGTGGGATTATTGATTATATAGCATTTTTAATCAACAAGCAAAACATTTTTATTCCAGTGAGTATGGTTTTACACCGCTGTCAGCAATATTACGGCCAGGTACACCAGAAATGGGCTTCACACATTGCACCCATGTGGAGGTTTCGAACCCGGGTCTTTACTGTGACGAGCTTTAACCACTAGGCTATCCCACCTACTTCTAAATTTTGTTAAAAAAGCAGTTGGGGTAAGTAAACCATGCTTAGAGGTGTCGTCAGCAGTACTGGAGGTGTTGATTTTTTGCTAAAAGTCATTCCTGTTGCAAGGCTCCAGATAAAGGCCGTATCGGCGTATGTACGGCTAAAAAATATGCACGATAATAGGAAATAATTTAGGAAACGTAGCAGATACGCACCACAGCAATGGTGTACGGTCTTAGAATCATTTACAGACATATTTATCTGAAAAAGTATTGTTTCATTGTTTATTGACCTGTTTACACAAGACTAGCAATGTTGTGGTGCATATATGAAACGAAACACAAGATTACTGATACTCCATTAAATTCCATTCTGTACTCAAAATGTACTCTTAACGTTTTCCAGTACTCCTGTATTGACAAAATATGGAGTACGTACTCCTGATGATGAAGTTATCTGGAGCCCTGCTGTTGATATCTGCAACTCATCCCTAGTTGATGATTATCAATCCCTATGATCTGCACCGAAAGCCAACCCCAAGTGAAATGCTTTACCATTCTCAGTGTTCACAATTCTACATCACAACTGGACTTCAGCAAACTTCTTTCATCAAACTAAAGAAAATACAGTTACTGCAGGCCAACCAAAATGATAATGAACAGGTTGATGCAAAATTATGTTTATTTGTTGTTTCACACTACACTAATATTAGAGCTATATGGTGGCAGGTTGTAAATTATGAAGTCTGGGCCAGACAATCCAGTGATCAACATTATGAGCATTGATGTATGCAATGGGATACGAAAATGTGTCAAAGCGACCACCTGATCCCATTAGTTGCCTAAAACGACAAGCATGGTTGCTGAAGACCAATTATAACCCAGATCTTTACATTTCTTAAATACAACTGCAACATATTCTTGCTTTTAAAACATTTATTTCACAGTAGATAAATATAAAATACTACCTGAAAAAAAGTAAAAGACAAACATTTTTGCATACAATGATGAAATAGGTATAAGTGAATATTTACAAATGACAAGTCTCCAAAAAGCACTTCATACTGTGTTCCCGTTTCATTTCAAGGAACGATTGGAGCAATGTTTTAAATTTTAAATGTGGACAATGGAGCATCCAAGTGGGAAAATCTACAAGTTCACCTAATACAATCCTTATACAACCCAACTGGAACGAACCAACTTCAAGGGATTCATAGCTAAGGGACACAACTCTCTCACACATTCATTCTTCTATTTACAGTGGCAGTGGGGCCCAAGCACTACACTGGTCATCTGATCGGTACGATGATCATGTGATCAGTAAGTTGCTCTTCTGGGCTGCTGGTTGAGGGGTATTGCGGTTAGTTGTGAGATCAGCCCTAGATCTAGGCACTGGTGATAGGTGCACCTGTCAGAACAGCTGCTGGGATAATTCAATTTGTTGTGTGATCAGGTCCTACTCGCAGCTTCCTGATGCACTGAAATGAAAAACAAATTTCATCAACATCTAAAGCAGGATTTGGGGCAAAAATAACAAAAATTACATAATTACAAATTTAGTTAAACAACAAGGAAAGCCATGGCACTCACAAATAGGGCTGTGTATTGGCAAATGAATTGTATTCATCCCTAAAAAAAATATATTATGGTAAATATAAAATATATGTTATGGTTCTGATAACAGCAATCTCAAAATTAGGTTGCATAGTCAGGAGTTTTTTTTACAAGTTACAGTATGCCATTTTGTCATTGAACAACGAAGGAAAACATTTGCTCTGAATGAAAGACTGTAGATTTTAATTTAAACCATATACATAATCACAAAAACTTCATTTATGTTCCCAATATATCGGTTCTCAGAAAAAAATATTGCAATACATATCCTTTGAAAAGCGTATTGCAATGTACCGGTATAACTTGCAGTCCTACTCACAAACCAAGGGCTATGTTTAGATATCATCAGAAATGGGCTTCAAACATTGTACCCATATGCGGAATTGAACCCGAATTTTCAGCATGACAAGCAAACGCTTTAACCACTAGGCTACCCAACTGCCCCTTGCATTTAGAGAGCCAGTGGGACAGGTATGTCAAAAAGGGTTACAGTAAAACAGTACACAAGTACACATGATACCCAATACAATTTTTCCCTGAATCAATAGAACTTGATACATTTGCTAAAATATTTACTACACTTTTAGACACTCCAAACCCCAGCATTTGCGCATAACAAATGTCACAAAATGAATTGTACTTAGCCTTTTACAACATTTAAAAATAATAATAAAGGTACCTTTGAGTATGTCAGGAGTTATCTCCTTTGTAACCTGCTCTAAAAGTGTCAACTTTCCACACAACAGACTTGAATGTTCATCTTGTTACATTTTGTGACCCTGCTTCATTGTTTCACCCATAGGCAAACATAGCAAAACTGAAGAAGTGACAAATGTTCATTTGTTTCACTTGGAGAAACACATGGAAAATTAGCAGTATGGTTTACAAAATCGACAACATATTTAGGACTTTCTCCATCACCACCGAATTACAGTGGACTAAAGGGTTAGACAGATTTAAATCCATCAAGTTTAGATTTCTTTTGTCACTTAAGCGACCAGTCCCTCACATTTCTTTCATCCACAAACTGAAGTAACAGTCGCCTTACCCAGCTCCTGAGTCTGACTCTAGCACTTCAATCTCATCACCGTTGCTGGCACTACTGGAACTAGACTGACTGTCGACATTCTCTTTGCCTTTGTTCAAGAATCCACCAATCCCCTTCTGCCAGTCAGGAATCGGTCGCTGACACACTGGGTTGCCACCTGCATACTTTGTTTTACCTGTGGAACACAGCTGGACATGTGAACATGTTCAGGGTCTTAACATCCAAGACCCGTGAAGATCCAGGTTAGAATGAGCCTTCAGTAACCCATGCTTGTCATAAGAGGCGACTAACGGGATCGGGTGGTCAGGCTCACTGACTTGGGTTGACACATGTCATCTGTTCCCAATTGCGCAGATCGATGCTCATGTTGATCACTGGATTGTCTGGTCCAGACTTGATTATTTACAGACTGCTGACATATAGCTGGAACATTGCGGCGTAAAACTAAACAGACTCACTCACTTAACATCCAAGAGTTCTGGAATGAACTATTTGAGTATCATATATTGGGTACTTTCCTTATTTTGTTATTGTATAACAAATATTACTTGTTGTTGAACATCACACTCAGCAATAGTCCAGCTACATGACAGCGGTCTGTAAATCAGCGAGTCTGGACCAGACAATACAGAGATTGACAGAATGAGCATAAATCTCCACAAGTACAATACAATGACGTGCAACACATGCAACAGTCAAGTCAGCAAGCCTGACCATTGGATTCTGTTAATTGCCTCTTACAGTGAGAAAGTTTGGCTTTACGTCGCTTTTAGCAATATCATGGCAGGGGACAGTAGAAATGGGCTTCACACATTGTACCCAAGTGGGGAATCGAACCCAGGTCTTCAGCATGACAAACGCTTTAACCACTGGGCTACCCGCACCGCCTCTCTCAACAGTGTTCACGAATGGCGTTTCAAAATAACAGGACATTTGGTCCTGTAAGTTTCAGATGTCTGTCTGACCCATTGAAAATTCACAGGACCCATAGAATAAATTTAAACACACATTTCAGATCTAACAATTCTTATAATTGGCATTGAAAGTATTAACAAACATAAGATTTATAAACAGCAACCAAGTGTGACATGTCACATATAACAACTTCAGTCAAAGTCTTTGGGAATATGCAGTCAGACACTGGGGCCGGCGGGTTGCACACTTCTATCGGACTGTTGGCAAATCTGCCGGATTTGTCAGAGGGTCAGACGCTATTCATTAACACTGTTACAACCCTGATTTTCAGATTTTTTAAAAATGGTGAATAGATATAAAATTGTATCTGTATGCAACAATACATATCTATAAAGTTGTAAAACTTTCAATCACCATGCCAGCCACATAAATTCACATAATTATATAATATGGGTTTTATATTACTTAATAAAATTAGCGGAGTTAAAACTAGGTTCAACAAAAGACGAAAAAGGAACAATCAGAATTTTGCAACAATGGTAATAGTTGTAATGCTAATATCACCTGTATCCCTTCCTCCATTGTATTTTTACAGTACAAACCCTGACTGTAATTATTACAATATCGTAATATCACAGGCAAAAATTTGAAGCTGGGATTATGGGGTGAAATCTCTCCATATTAAATATTCCGTACCTGACTTTGGGGAACCGGCACTACTGCACCCTGCCGCCGGGCTTCCAAGACTCTTCCTTGGGGCTCGCGCAGCAACAACTATGTGAGAACAACAGTAAATAAACATTAAACTACTGGAATAGTTAACATGGTTTTCAAATAATATTACCATACACGCACTGAAATACTTCAAAACAAACCATACAATAATTTGTTACATAGTCTACGCCTCAAAGCAGTCCCCAAAATTGAACAGCCCCAAAACATCATGTCATTGTCAACACTGAATTCAACCTTATTTTGGCTATGTATGTTATTAACTGGTTATAAACATATGGATCAATAAATTCACTGGCGTTCGAGCTAACAACACCGTTGTGTGTCAAAACAGCTTCGACAAAGTCCCCTCACTAAAATATTTTGCAGCACACAGTGTGAAAAATACGGCTTGGCAATAGCATCCACCTGTTGAACATCAACATCATTTTAACATGTGAGCAATTATGCAACGTAACTGATGCTGTGATGTAATAAACACCACATGTTTACCTTTCCTTGAGGCTGCACAACCTCCATCAGCTTTTGTTCGCACCATTTTTAACGATATTTGCCTCGCTTTGCTCAACCAACTCTCTCTGCTGCTGGCGACAGATTTGGCGCGCTAGAGATTCACTGGCTATCCCGCGTATTTGCACGGACTCTCAAAAAACTATTAATATTTAATTCTACTGAAGTTATCGCCTTTTAAATGTGTTTTGAAGCATGTTTCTTCTAAAAAGCCTAATTACTTTTCAGATTCCCAAAAGTTAATACATCGGGAATTCCCGTAAACAAAGGGAGGTAACTGTTGAGGACTTAGGTTCCGATTTGATCTTTTACAAATGCTTGTTGTTGGTTCGACTCCCTATCAAAACGACGTTTTTTCACACTTGTTCTTTTTGCATTTTTAGATTTGCTTAAGAATGGGGTAGAGTGAAATTATTAATGAACACATTAATTCACCTGCAAAAAAACCCACCTCAAAATACAGAAAATGCGTGCATTGTTTTCATTGCTAATAGTTGGGTGCGGCTGGGTGGGGTGAGGTGAGATGGTTCACTCTCACTTAGCCAGAATCTACCCAAAAAGACAAAGACAAAAAGGGTCATGAAAAGATGATGCGGCGAAGAGAGGGGTTGCCCAAAAAATCACAGAAATAAGGGGGGCGGGAAAACGACACATTTTTTCAAAAACGTACGTGACCTGATTATTCACTACAACCTACAAAATGTTATTACTGAACCAACAAGAGTAACGCCCGTTTCATCCTCCTTGATTGATCCCATTATTTTATCTGATGATTGTTCATACAAAGACGCAGGGGTCGTTGAATTAACATCAGATATTAGTGATCACAAGGGAACCTATGTCTATCTTTCAAGCTTTGTAAATGTCAACAGTGCATACAAGAAACAAGTTTGGTTGTATAACAACGGTAATTATGATACTTTAAATAATCTGATCAGGGAAACTAACTGGGAGAGTATTTTTTCTAAAACTCCAAATGTTAACGACGCTTGTGTAATATTTACTTCTCTGCTTAAGGAATATATGGTTAGATGTATCCCAACCCAAACCATTACAGTCAGACCTAAAGACAAACCTTGGTTTGACAGTGAACTTCGGAGAGAAATTAGAAAAAGAGACCAATTAAGGAAGAGAGCATTTCGAACACTGAATACTTCTGATGTATCTAAATTCAAAAAGCAGAGGAATAAAGTAAATAATCTTAAAAAATTAGCCAAGGAAATTTTTTATTCGAATTTAGGTAGTTTTTATCTTCTCACTCTACTCAATCAGCAGATTATTGGAAGGTTTTTAATTATTTGTTGAAAGGTTCTACTTCATCAGGACCCATCCCCCCTTTCGTAACTGATGATTCCGGAATACATTCAGCATTTACAGACATTGACAAAGCCCAAACGTTGAATAAATATTTTGTATCTGTTTCCAATATCAATGATGAGGGCAAGACTTTGCCACCTGTTAGCCATCGCTGTCCTAACAGCATTACAAGCGTTAGTGTTACTGAAAAGGAAGTATCGGATGTGATTAAGACTTTACCAGCAAACAAAGCTAGTGGACCTGATGGTATTAATATGAGAATGTTAAAACGAAATTGTACATCAATAGCTGAACCTCTTTGTTTACTGTATAATATTTCTCTGAGTCAGTGTGTTTTTCCTTCAGCTTGGAAAACAGGCAATATTATCCCTATTTTCAAAAAAGGAGATAAATCCCTCCCTACTAATTACAGACCCATAAGTTTATTATCTATCCTCGGGAAATTTTTGGAAAAAATAATGTTAAAGCATTTACATAACCATTTCAATAAACATAGCATTTTAAGTCAATTTCAATCAGGTTTTACTACAAACCACTCTACCACATCTCAACTCATTGAAATCTATCACACTATATGTTCAGCTCAAGCTACTCATCACCTTTATTGTATGATTTTTTGTGACATTTCAAAGGCCTTGGACAGGGTGTGGCATAAAGGGCTATTGCTCAAATTAGAAAATTATGGTGTTCGTGGGCATTTACTTAGTTGGTTAACAAACTATTTATCTGATAGACGACAGAGTGTTTCCATCAATGGTACATTATCAAAAGAATTAAATGTTACTGCAGGAGTTCCTCAAGGATCTGTCCTTGGTCCAGTTTTGTTCCTTGTGTACATCAATGATTTACCTGAAACTCTATAGCTAACAAATGTCACAAGACTGTTTGCCGACGACACTTCAATTGGTGTTGCAGGAAAAGATGTAAAAACCATAGCAGCTTCTCTTAACAATGATTTAGCAAATTTGAATGAATGGGCTGACAAATGGTTAGTTAAGTTTAACCCGAACAAGACCAGATTCATGCTTTTTAAAAATGGAAATTGTCCACAAGTTCCTGACTTGATTTTCAATAATGAACATTTGGAACGTGTACATCAACATAAACACCTCGGTGTCATCTTTTCAGATAATACAAAATGGTCTCATCATGTATCTGCTGTAATAGAAAAGGCCGCATAAATTGTTTCCTCATTACGGACGATAAAGTACGTATTACCTAGATACATGTACATGTATATCCTTTCTAGTATGTACGAAATGTATATTAGGCCTATTTTAGAATATGCATCTGAGGTCTGGGATAATTGCCCTAGCTATATTTGTGATAAACTTGAAATGTTACAACTTGAAGCAGCAAGAATTGTAACCGGATTGCTTAAATTCGCTTCAAGATATAGTTTATACAGTGAAACTGGTTGGTTATCACTGAAAGTTAGACGAACACAATGGAAACTCTGTACATTCTACAAAATTGTTAACATGCAAGCTCCTGATTACCTGATAGATTTACTTCCACCTTTTACTGAAACCATTTCCGGATACAACTTGCGTAACAAATCAGATTTGGCTGTTCCTAAATTTCGCACCTCAATTCTCCAAAAGTCATTTATTTATGATTCTGCAAGTTTATGGAATGCTCTCTCCTCTACAAAAAAATGTACAAATTCATTATCATCGTTTAAATCAAAGTTATCTGGAAATAATGACAAGGTTCCAAAATATTTTCTATTTGGTGAAAGAAAGACAAATATACTACACACGAAGTTAAGACATTCGTGTAGTTCATTACAAGCAGATCTGTTTCGTGTTAATCTATCAGAGAGTAGAGCTTGCAATTGTGCTGCTCCGGTGGAAGATGCTAACCATTTCTTCTTGAAATGTCCAAAATTTGTCAGTTGCCGTTTTGATCTGAAGAAAGACTTTGAACTATCAAAAGTTCAGTTAGACATTGATACCATTCTTTACGGCAACCCTGCTCTGCCAAATACTATCAATGAAAATATCTTTAGACATGTGCATAAATTCATTGTACGAAGTACAATTAATCAATAATATGTCTCAATATTATTATGTCCATCCATTACGTCCAATCATTATTGTTCATTATTGTTCATGTTTCTAATGGGAGCGGGCGGTAATAAGTTACATAACTTGTGCCCAATCCATTTCAACACTGAATAAAATATGTTCAAACAAAGAAACACTATAATTAATAAAAGAAATTATAAATATTGAAATTATACCTTATGGAGTGGCGTTATGGATGAAAATATGTTTCGGAGAAGAAGGGGGAATATGATATAGTCATGAGGCAAATTGTTTTAGCCCATGCCGCCACAATATCAGTATTTCTTCTAATGTTTAGCAATTCCATTCTGTCACCTTTATATTTAGTGGGGCGCTGGTGAAAGTGTTCGCTCGTCACGCCAAAGAGCCGGGTTCGATTCCCCACTTGGGTACAATGTGTGAAGCATTTCTGCTGTTCCCGCTGTGATATTGCTGGAATATTGCTAAAAGTGGCGTAAAAACACGCTCACCCATATCTTGTGAATCCCTTGTTACATTTACACGTTTATACAAATATATACCGGGTAAGTTTCAATTTGGATATGAGTTGGAATAGTTTTTTGTTTGTTTGTTCGACACCGGACTCCAGTTCTATGACGGCGGTCTGCAATTAATCGAGTCTAAACCAGTGATTGACATCATGAGCATCGATCAACGCATAATACTCAGTTTTGCGACAATAGCATCCTCTGCACAAATATTCTGTTAGCATCTCGCAAGATTGCATCTAATTCTATACATTACAAGATGTAAATATATACAATTTGAAAACTTTCATGATAAACGCGTTGTTTCATTGTGTGTACAGTCCGTTTGACGTCAGAAACGGACCAGATGATAAGGCGACAGTCTGTAAATATTCAGTTGTGGACAAAATCCACTGATGCCACATAAATATACAGATAGTACACGTGTTTATCATTTACTAATACCAAACAGCTTTCTTATATTTGTGAAATTTTTCCGGACTCCACCAAAAGTTTTTAGTCGCCCTTTACGACAAGCATGGGTTGCTGAGGAGGAGTGCAGAGAAAGGGACAGCCAGGTGCCTCGAGAAAGGATGGAGACTGCACAGCACAGGCTAATGAATCAATAACTTGGTGGGCACTTGTGCACGTGCTTTCTAACACCTGGTTGTCCCTTTCTCTGCACTCCTCCTGATATCAACCAACTAGTCTGGTTGGGACTCGATAATCTAAAGGCCGTCATGATAATTCTTGAACGCAGCTAAAGTGTACAGAAGCGAAAAACTATTTTAAAATAATAAGCAAAAAAAGAATGCTTCCGATTAGTCGAACATTTACGTAATATAATGTTAAATGTGGTCTCAGAGAGTTTTTTAATACAATGATAATGTAAGCTGAACTGTCTCCGTTGATGTATAGAATATGTACTGTTTGCGAATGCCACGTTTGATGGTTGTCCGCTTCGTCGACAGCTCGGCTGAAAAGCCAATAGCTGCGTTTGAGCGACACGCTCAGGGTCTAGAAACTATGTTCCCGGTATGAACACGAATTACACACGACAGCACGTTACAATTATGACATTCACCGGTATTCAACGTAAAGTCTAACACATAGACGGGGACAACAAACGGAAACGTGGTCATTTGCGACTTCGCATTCCTTTACAAAAACGATTCAAGCGAACGCTCCAAGTCAGAAAAGTATGCATGCTATTGACAATTAATAACAGCGCTAGTGTATTACCTTTGAATTGGTTTTACACAAAAGCGCACCCTCAGCACTCGGCGAGGAGTTTGCACCAGCTGTGACGAAGTCGTGGTCACATCTGGTGCAGCACAACAGGCGTCAATAACTGTCCATGACGTTGCTTAAACATGGCTACCACGATGGGGATACTGAAGAAGTGGTTGTCAGTTATTTTGGTATTTTGGGGATATTTTAGAATAAATGGAGAAGATGTTCACCCGCATGACGTCAATATCAAGCACAGTAAGTATAATTATGTTTCTCTTTATGATAACACCCCATAGGCACTGCTACAGCGTTCTGTAAAGAGTTCAATTACTTTCCATTCACGAATTACTTCAACGAAATATACCTGTACTCTGTGTTCTATATTAACCATCATTGTGATACTATTATATTTATGATTATTTTACTCATGCTGTTTGTATTGTTCATTCTGTTTTATAAACTAATCATAGATTAGAACAAATAAAATGAAACGATTTTGTTTTGTTTTGATGGATATATGTTATGTTCATTTATCAAGGTGTAAAAATAAGAAAACAATATGGTCATTATATTATACAACCAGTTTACCGTTATGAGGTACCGTATTGTAATGTATCGGGTTATTTCTTTTAAAAAACACACCAAAAAACTAAAAAAACGAGGCAACGGGAACAGTATTATTGTTACGAATCATTTATAACCTGGTCGTCCAACCCGTTCTGAACACGTGTACCCGGCGTTCAAGGTATGTTCGTGTATTTGATTTTACAGCATGTGAATAAATCATTTTATGTTCGTATATTTATGTTCACAACTGAAAGGATCACACGTAAAGGTGTATTGATTGCCGTGAAGTCAAATAGGCGCATGTCAGGGGAGATAATCACAAGATGGCGGTCAAGCCGGTGTGAAGGTTGCTTTCCGCCGCGTTCAGTGAGTGAGTGAGTATGGTTTTACGCCGCTTCTAGCAATATTCCAGCAATATCACGGCGGGGGACACCAGAAATGGGCATCGCACATAGTACCCATGTAGGGAATCGAACCCGGTCTTCGGCGTGACAAGCGAATGCTTTAACCACTAGGCTACACCACCGCCCCTCAGTGAGTGCGAGGTGAAATTTAAGATCACGTCTGCTATACTTCAGCGTTAACGTGACGTGAAATTTGCCTGTGTGACCGAATTTCTGGATTCAGGACCCATTTTATGGTTCTGTTCTGTATTTTTTCTGTTATATTGTATGTCCGTCAGGATACTGATCAAAGATGGGAATCTATGTCACAATAGGTTTTCGTGCTGGTCGTAATAAGTGACTTCGTGGATTGGGTGGTCAGGCTCGGGAACTGGTTGATTGCATGGCCTCATGTGAATTGTATTTGTCGTTGCACACATATATCAATCACTGGATTGTCTGGTCCAGACTCGATTATTTCACTCCACCACTTAGCTGGAATGTATTGAGTGCGACGTTAGGAATCAAAGAAAGGAAACAAAAGAACACTTATGTGTGGTAACGTCAGTGTGAGAAATAGTTTCCAAATTTTGCTGGCCAGTCGGGCTAGCTATGCCTGAAAGTTACTAGCCCACAAAATAATTCTCTAGCCCGAAATTTGAATGTAGAAACTAAGCAAAAGATTTTAAAAAATAGATGAGAATAAGATATTGTCAGCATAACACAGGTTTCATCATTAAGCTGCTAATATAATGAACATTTTTTATCAGGCCGTAATCTTGCCTGTGTATTAAAACTTAACAAGTCGTAGAGAGTGATATATTTACAAAATGACCCATGAAAATTCACTAGCCAGTCGGGCCACTGACTAGAGATTTACTGCCCGTTTGGAAATTTACTAGCCACGGGCTAGCGGGCCAGTGGCTATTTTCCACACTGGGTAACGTGCACATCCCTAAACAGTTATGACACGGTTGTCTCCCTTTGTTTCAGTCATGCTCACGTACAACCACTTTACACCAATGCAGCTGTTTAAGTCCACGGATTTCTGGATGGGAATCAACGACCCGAAGTCTGAGACGGGAGAGTATCCATTCCGGGTGGGACACACAAAGAGCTACTATATGGATATGTACCCCGTCACAAACGCCCACTTCTGGTACGTTCTGACGCTCCACCACGACGATTATTCTGGTCATATACTGAAGAAATGAAATAACGGATACTGAACATAAGGAGTTTCTTATTTGTTCTCGATACCAGGTTCGAGATGCGCTGTGTAAAAGTCGAGATAAGCGGGGATTTCACTAATGATGATTCACTTATGGCCAACTTCTGTATATCATAAAACTATTCATATCACTGAATCCAATTTATAACATTAAGAAATACATTTAATTTGTTTGTATCACAAAATATACTAAAACACCTTGAAAACGCCAAGTCGATGTATTTTTCATATTTGGCAAAATTACAACCAAAAAAATGAATTATTTTGTTCCTGATACTTTGGCATAAGATAATCAAGTACACCAATCTAAAAATGGATTATAAACGCACTCACTCATGACATGCCTGTTTCCAGGGAGTTTTCAATGAAGAAGCGGAGGTACCGCACGGAGGCGGAGACCAAGGGATGGAGCTGGGTGTTTGAGAATCACGTGTCTGCCGATACCAAGAAGAAGATGTCCGTGAAAGGGGCAGACAACTGGCTAGCCGTGAAAAAAGCAAACTGGGAACACGTGAGTTAGGGTCTGGCCATTATGGGTTGGAGGGGTTTTCAAGACAGAAACGTAATGGTGTGAATGTTTGTTTGTATGTGCGTGATATTTGAGTGTGTCATCCCTCCACCAAGTAAAAAAAGTAAGCATCGATGAAGTACACAGAAGTACAACCTTCGCAAAAATGACTGATATTATTCACCACCACCCCCACCCCACACACACCACACACACACTCTTCCCTCCCTCTCTCTCTCTCTCTGGGGTCTCTCTCTGATGTTCTCTCTCTTGATGTTCTCTATCTCTTATGCTCTCTCCTCTCTCTCTCTCTCTCTCTCTCTGATGTTTTCTGTATCTCTTCTCTCTCTCTGTGATGCTGTCTTTCTTTCCTTCTCTCTCTCTCTCTCTCTCTCTCTCTCTCTCTCTCTCTCTCTCTCTCTCTCTCGCTCCGATGCTCTTCCTTCTCTCTCTCTCTCTGTGATGTTTCTCTCCCTGCTGATGTTCTCTTCCTCATTCTCTGTGATGTTTTCTATATTGCTCTCCCTCTCTCTTTCTGTGATGTTTCTCCCCATCCCTCTCTCTCTGTGATGTTCCTATCTCTGCTGCTCTTTCCTTCGTCTCTCTTAACTGTGATGTTTTCTGTCTGCTGCTCTTTCCTTCCCCTCTCTCTCTGATGTCTCTCTCCACATTCTCTCATGTTCTCTCCCTCACTATTGGTGGTGTTTCTTGATGGTTCCAGCCCGAGGGGCCTGACTCTCTGGTTGACAAACGCTGGTCGCACCCTGTCGTGCACGTGAGTTACCAGGACGCCGAGACTTACTGCAAGTGGAGGGGGAAGAGGCTCCCCACAGAGGCGGAGTGGGAGAGGGCTGCACGTGGGTCTCAACTTAGTAAGTTTGTCTGTGTGCCGAACACAGTGATACCAGCTCAGGATGAGTGAGTGAGTTTGGTTTAACGCCGTGTTTAGCAATATCACGGCGGGGGACACCAGAAATGGGATTCACACATTGTACCCATGTGGGGAATCGAACCCGGATCTTCGGCGTGACGATCGAACACTTTAACCACTAGGCTACCCCACCGCTCCCACGTGTCAGCTAAGTCAGCGAATGTGACCATCCGATCCCGTTAGTCGCGTCTTACGACAAGCATGGGTTACTGAAGATCAATTCTAACCCGGATCTTCACTGGTTGGGCAGCAGCAGTAACATGTCCTGGGCCCCGTTCCTCAAAGCGATCGTAGCGCTACGACAGTCGTAACTCTCATACTTTAACATAGACTTACGACTGTCGTAGCGCTACGATCGCTTTGAGGAACGGGGCCCTGGACTATATGTCATGACGCTCACGATTGTTCAGAAGTCCTCTCTGATCATTGCCTCGAAACCACCCCGTCCCTGTTCTTAAATCCGAGGGGCGGTGGGGTAGCCTTGTGGTTGAAGCGTTCCCACGTTACGCCGACGACCGGGTTCGATTCCCCTCATGGGTGCAATGTGTGGAGTCCATTTCTGGTGTCCCAGAATATTGCTTAAAACTAAACTCACCCACTTAAACCTCAGTTGTTAGCTCAGTAAGTAAGACATGCTCCGTTAAACTAACATTTGCCGCACTATTGCGTCCAAGTTGAAAATACACCATTATCCTAATAATATCAAATAGCTGCACAGCCAGTTTATTTAAGGCTGAGTGAGTTGCATTTATCATAAACAAGATGAATCTAGAATTCGAACATACGATCCGGAAACCCAAGGGACGCAACTCTGTATACCGGCTTCTGGTTTCACACATTAGTGAAGATACGAAACTATAATAGTCCGTTTATAATAATAGTCCATTTATATTGCGCGTTTATCCATGCACATTGCATGCTCAAAGCCCTGACATATTGCAAACTATGGCAAACCTAGTTAATGGACATCTGTCCGCAGATATTGACCACAAATGTTGATTGGCGAATATATCAAAGACATATTGACTCACTTTACAGATCACGTTGTCCAGTACCCTTGGGGCGACCTGTGGGAATCAAAGAGAGCGAACATTTGGGAGGTAGGTCAGTTTCCATGGAAACATGTCAGTCACCGAAAACGGACCAAACTACAGACTGACATACTGATTGTTGGTTGGTTGGTTGTTTAACGCCACACTCAGCAATTTTCCAGCTATATGGTGTCGGTCTGTAAATAATCGAGTCTGGGCGAGACAATCCAGTGATCAGCATCATGAGCAACGATCTACGCAATTGTGTCAACCAAGTCAGCGAGTCTGACCACCCGATCCCGTTAGTTGCCTCTTACAAGGCATGGGTTACTACAGATCAATTCTAACCCGGATTTTCACGGACCTAAAGTTTTAAATGTTTAATCGACAAGACACCATTTTATGTTTCCTTTTTCCTCAACACAGCTTTAATTTCGTTTCAGGGAAAGTTCCCCAAAAAAGAATGTTAAAGCAGATGGCTTTGACGGTACCTCGCCTGTAGACGCCTACCGACCCCAGAATGATTTCAGTAAGTTATTATACAAGAATTTGTTCGAAATCATCTATCGCAAGAAACATTCGTATAATATTTAAAGACTCCAATAAAACATTGAGTGAGTGAGTGAGTCTAGTTTTACGCCACACTCAGCAACATTCCAGCTACATGGCGGCGGTCTGTAAATAATTGAGTCTGGACCAGACCATCCAGTGTTCAAAAAAATAAACATTTATCTACGCAATTGGGAAACGATGACATGTGTCAACCAAGTCAGCGAGCCTGACCACCCAATCCCATTAGTCGCCTCTTATGACAAGCATGGGTTGCTGAAGACCAATTCTAACCCGGATCTTCACGGGTAATAAAAAATTTCAAGCAGCTGCAATCACCTCTCCATCACATTATAGCCATGGTGTGGGATTTTCATTTCTATATCTAGAGAATCTTTTTGTTAAAACTGTATGCCTGTCTTTATATCCGTGAACATTGTGTACAAACTGTCAGTCCCCTTTAAGACAAATGCGTGTTTGCATGCTGTAAAATGTAACGGCACGTTTGGTATAATGGTGTAATGGTGTGTTTGAAATGTTGAAAGGCGATTTTCCTATGTTGCAAAATGAAAAGGCGATTGTCATATGTTGCAAAATGAAAAGGGGATTGTCCTATGTTGCAAAATGAAAAGACGATTGTCATATGTTGCAAACTGAAAAGGGGATTGTCCTATGTTGCAAAATGAAATGGTGATTGTCATTTGTTGCAAAATGAATGGTGATTGTCATATGTTGCAAAATGAAAAGGGGATTGTCCTATGTTGCAAAATGAAAAGAGGATTCTCCTATGTAGCAAAATGAAAAGGGGATTGTCCTATGTTGCAAAATGAAAAGGGGATTGTCCTATGTTGCAAAATGAAAATGGGATTGTCTTATGTTGCAAAATGAAAATGGGATTGTCCTATGTAGCAAAATGAAAAGGCGATTGTCCTATGTTGCAAAATGAAAAGGGGATTGTCATATGTTGCAAAATGAAAAGGGGATTGTCATATGTTGCAAAATGAAAAGGGGATTGTCCTATGTTGCAAAATGAAAAGGCGATTGTCCTATGTTGCAAAATGAAATGGTGATGTTCCGACGTTGCAAAGTGAAAAGGTGATTTTCCTATGTCGCAAAATGAATAGGTGATTGTCCTATGTTGCAAATTGAAATGAGAATTTTCCATGTTGCAAAATAAATAGGTGATGTTTCTATGTTGCTAAATGAAATAGCGATTGTCCTATTAAAATGAAAAGAGGATTGTCCTATGTTGCAAAATGAAAAAGTGATGTTCCGACCTTGCGAAATGAAAAAGTGATGTTCCTATGTTGCTAAATGTAAATGCATCTTTCGTGTTTGTGCCTGCAGAGATGTATGACATGGTAGGCAACACGTGGGAGTGGACCGCCAGCCCCTACTACCGGCCCTTCATCCCCCACGACCTTCAGGAGACGCAGCACATCTTAAAGGGAGGCTCCTACATGGACAAAAATGACGGAGACTTCACTTATGTCGTGAGAACATCCCAAAGGTAAGGATGATGGACGTGGTTAATTATTTCAGTACAACCTTACACTCACAAGATGGTAATCTGTCATACAGACCCTGAGTGAGTGAGTTTACTTTTACACCGCTTTTAGCAATATCCCGCCGATATCGCGACAGGGGACACCAGAAATGGGCTTCACATATTGTAGTCATGTGGGGAATCGAACCAGGGTCTTCGGTGTGACGAGAGAACGCTTTAACCACTAGGCTACCCCACCGCCCCTATAGAGACCCTGAAACAAGTATACCAAATATTGTTCATACAAGTCTTGTATACATTATGTGGCAAGGCCAGACTGCAACAGTGTGAAGAAAGTTCCAAGGTTCTTTTGTTTGTGTGTGAAATCTGTTAATTTCGTAGGCTAGAGATTATCTTTAATTCGTTCAGAAATAATACCAAGGTCACTATACAAACAGGACACGACTTATATACAAACGAGATCGGGCTAAATCTGTCGCCTTCAGATGGCTGAGAACTTACATTGACAAGATCGCAGAAGACACTGTTAAAGATTATAAACGTATATTTGTTATCAATACATGCAACATCAGGGTTGTTTACCTCAGAACATAAATGGACACAAAAACGTGATTTAGTTTTATCGTTTCGTTGAGTGAATATAAATATGTACAGCTTCAAAAATGGTGTCGTTGATTCTTTCAAAAATTCAATTCTTTATTCCGTTTGTGTAAACCAAAACTACATACGTTTACGTGTTACAGACAATTGCTTTAGTTGTACAATATTCGATCAAATGTTGACAGTCAAGCTAGTGTTCTATTGAGTGACATTGGATGATAAATATACTTGGTAGAATCTTAATTAGGACACAATCGTTGGGGATATTAAGTGAGTGAGTGAGTGAGTGAGTATGGTTTAACGCCTCATTTAGCAATATTCCAGCAACATCACGGCGGGGGGACACCAGAAATGGGCTCCACATTGTACCCATTTGGGGAATCGAACCCGGGTCTTCTGCGTGACGAGCGAACTCTTAAGTCACCAGTCTACCCCCACCGTCCCAAAGGATATTAAACTTAGACTTAGAGGGATATCAGTAATACATGACACAGACATGACACTGTTATCGTGCACCAGAATTTACACCGAATTTTGACTCTCATAAGTGAGTGAAATAGAATGGGCTGGTTCCGCGACAGATGTTGATAAGCCGCCGTGAGCGGGTTAGACGTCGGATGTTGTGTGATGGCGATTAGGTGCGTTCGACAAATGAACTAGAATCCGTACTTTACAAAGAAAGTGTAATCCCAAATGTGAACAAACGCCGAGAATCACAAACATCTTCTGACGCAGTACCTCCCGATTGCTGGACCAAGATCCAGGGTATACCGGAGTTTAGTTTAGATGTGGAATGACCGATTAATTACCGTAGGATTAGCATTCTAACTGACCTTGGACAATTAATAATACCAATACATCAATACAAACACGATGACACTGTTGGATACAGGCCATGACCTCGTACAAAACCGCGATAACGGCGACGTTTCTACATATAAAGGTCACTGAGAATGTCTTCAAAACAAGGTCGCTATTGCATTATGGGACGTTGATCATTTGAAACGTGTATTGTCCATAATGACAGAACTGACATAATGTCCAATGACTGAGGAATAAATGAAAAATATCGACTGATGTTAACAGGAAAAACACAAGGATATAATGGTGGAATCTGTCAAAAATGGACTCTTTGTAAACCGGTTTTCTCCATAATCCGGACTACTCTCTGCGTCCCTGCAAAATTGTTCTTAATTCATCATTATAGTAGTTCATTAATTCTTTTTCCCAGAATGCCCCAAGCTCCTGACTACTCGTCTAGCAACGTCGGCTTCCGGTGTGCCAAGGACGCGCCAAAGTATGACCCTGATTTCGAAGCCATCCGGAGACAAGAAGAAGAATACAAAATGCAGTTTAAACAGGCTATTGGAAGAGATGAGTTATAGAACCCAGTGTTGTGAGAATGAAAGAATTCGTGGTTTTGTCATATTTTTGTGTACATCGGTAAATTAAATAATCATTTTAAGTCATTTGTATTAAAACGGAGAAAATATATGCAATTTCCAATCACATATGACGTGATACAATATTTGTGAAACGTTGTCTAGTTTCTCCATGTTGATAATTTTATCTTCAGAACTTTCCATAAAATGACTCGTAGAGAGGTTGGTATTCTTAACGTAGAATTGCCGTTATCAACTTATTAAATATAGTTTACATTTAGACCTGCACACCGGATACCTTAGTTTACTTATCTATCTGCGATATTAAAAAGGACAGTGAAAAAAAGATCGAAATTTGGGGCGATTAACTATATTACACCATTTTGATGGCAATAATTTCTAGTACCTGTAGATTGAACCATAATTGTGAATTCTAACTCAGTAACTCAGTAAATGGCATGCATAGGAACCAACTGTGGTATAATAAAGTAGAATTGTTTTTAATGGATGCCCATTACAGAAGCCAACATCCATAAAATGTACCTCCTTTGTGAGTATCACTTGTAAATGCCATTCAAGAAGTCTGTGGGAAGTTCCTGGGTTGTTGTTTTCTTCAGAGGAATCTTTGAGATTTGTTGGAACCTTCTGCAACATTTGCAGGATGTGCCATCTAGAAACAGGTATATCTTCTGATAACGGATAATCCGATATTTCATCATTGCGTTTGTTGTATGGTATCATGTCAGAACCACGGAAATAGTTCCTTGTTTATTGCCATGGCTATTTATCCGCAATCACCGCTAAAGAGTGCCCTTGTACTTACCTGGATATCTACTTACTTCGTGTTTGTGAAAATAAAATTTAAAAACAAACCCCTTCTCGTTGATGCAGTTCATATTTCGTGTTTGGTGATCTGTGGGGACCATGAAGATCCGGGGCAGAATTGGTCATCAGAATACCCTTGCTTGTCAAAAAAGCGTCAGGGCGTTTGTTTGTTTGTTGTTTAACGCCGCACTCAGACAATCCAGTGAGTGACATCATGAGCATCGATCTACACAATGGGGGGGGGGGGGCACCAGAAATGGGTTTCACACATTGTTCCCATGTGGGGAATCGAACCCGGATCTTCGGCGTGACGAGCGAACACTTTAACCACTAGGTTACCCCGCCGCTCCCAGGAACTGATGACATGTGTCAGCTAAGTCAGCGAGGCTGACCACCCGATCCCGTTAGTCGCCACAAGCATGGGTTACTGAAGTGCAACCTAAATGTCCGGTTTTATATCCCCGTTACACTTGAGGAGAAATGAGCCGGAATGCTGTCGGAATGAAAATTCTTGGAAATTCGAACTGCATTCTATAACTTACTACTGCATTCCGAATGCATGCCAACTATTCGGGTCAATTCTTGTAACATGCCCGAATGTTTTGAACTTTCGAGGTACATTCCAAGTGGAAAAATATCGAACGGTATTTGTAGTGCATTCTAACTGCATTCTAAGTATTCTGAACGTATACTAGGGAGACTGGAAAAGGTAAGCCACTTCAAATCCTGTCAGAATGTCCCGAATGCGCCTCGAATGATTCGGAATGCATCTCGATTGCTGCTGGAATTCAGGTGGAATATTCTTCAAATGAATCGGAATATTTCAACTGCAGTTGGAATACAGCTTGAATGTACCTCGAATACAGTCAGAACGTCCCGAATGCTCTTCAAATGAGCCCTGACGTCATCAAAACACCGAGGAATCCCATAAAAACGTGGCCACCTGTCACTGAAACGTCAGATTGCATATTTAGGAGTCGCGCGCCAGTAAACAGTGGTAAAACAGCATTCTTACAAAGCTTGAAGAAAATGTATATTTTGACATTTTCTCCCAAATGTGGGTCGAATTATGTAAATATATATTTCTTTCTCTGGCTGATTCTCCTTGATTTCTGTCAATGTTAAATACTAGTAAGTGTAAAGGGGCCTTTAGTACTGCAGTAGGGATGAGGTTTTGTACAAACAGACGGGACGTCATTCCAAACCATCGTAGTAATATGAGACCGTTTGCACCGCATTATTCTTTTTCTTTCTTTTTTTAAAAAAAGTTTGTAATCCTACATCTATATATAACCGTCTTAAGTGGACTGATATCCTGAGCGAAGATCCAGACAATCGTTCCATGACAAGCTTCAATCAAGAACCCGGTCAGTCTCCTTTTGTGTTGAGTGTTTGTAGGCGACACCAATTCACAGCCTGACGTCTACCCGATGACTGACTGACTGACTGAGTTTGGTTTTACGCCGCTTTTAGCAATATTCCAGCAACATCACGGCGATGGACACCAGAAATAGCCTTCACACATTATGCCCATTTGGGGAATCGAACCTGGGTCTTCAGAGTGACGAGCCAACGCTTTAACCACAGGGCTACCCCACCGCCCCCTTCCCGATGAAGATTGGCGACGAATGGAAACATGAAACACCATCTTATCAGGCAGTCAGATACTGGAGTATGAGTGAGTGAGGGGGTGGGTTTAGTTGTACGCACCCCTCAGCAATATTCCAGCTATATGTTGGTGATCAGAATCTGCTAACAGTCCTAATTACCTAAAAGATGCTTGAAACCAAAAACAATTCGGCGTTTACCCCAAAAAGCAACATCGTTTCGAAACAGGAACAAAGATAAAAAATCTCACTTCTTAACTATTTGGGTTAAAAATCATTACTGGCAACAGGGATTGCTCACAGCCCAGTTTAGGTAAGACTTGGTGGTAAATTTCAATCCTTCAATGAGTATATTCACTTCTGATCCAGTTAGGCAACTTTGTTCCAGAGTGTGACATAAATGGGCAGAGTGAATGGAACCATTGCCACTAATCTCATCAACCTGTTTCCATAATCTCTTGTTAGTCCAAACGGAATGGTTTATTGACTATAAATACAAAACCCACCACCCCATAGGAATAATGACTCAAGCCATTCTATAAAATATATGTTTAATTTTTATGATTTTGTAAAAGATACATATGGCAAATTACAAGACACAAATTGGAATGTACATATCATACTAGTCCCTGGTACAATCTAGTGTTCTGGCTAGTGGTACATGATATTTTGATGAAATGCATGGAAAAGTGTCACCTTTTAATTGTACCTGTATTTACGTAATTAATACACTACCCAACTCTCCATAAGAAAACTAATATGTTTCACAATATATGTACACAAATAAATGTTTCGGTTGACCACAGATCCTTGGAGTATCATGATGAAATGTTGAAGTCAAAAGAACTAATTTCTAGGGTTGCAATGATACACACAAACAGCATGTCTGTTCATAGGAAAACATTTTCCACAGAATGGAAAGCAAAAGTTAATGTTATTTTCTAAGGGCTGGGAAAGTGTTAACGCTAAAAACTGAAAATATACAGAAATTTGCGAAATATGTTTCTATTTTTAACTAAAAGCTTCAAAATTATCATTATTAAAGATCTATAAACCCAAATAGTGAAGTTCACAGACAACATGAACGTATTAATTTTGAATTTGGTCAAAGGGGGAGATAACTCTTTGATATCTCCTTCACAAACACATAAAATGGGCACATTGAAAGTTTAGAGGGCTCAAAATTTAAGGGTTTTTTACCAGCATTCCGTCAATGTGATGTTGAATAGGTAAATAATGTTTTGCCATAAACAAAATATGAATCCTTTATGTGTCAAATGCCTGTAGCAGATGACAAATCCTGAAATATGTGATTCATCACAGCCAAATAAGTCAAGTAAGGGGTCAAAATGATTCCTGAATATTATCGGAAGCTTACGTCAGAACCGATCATAGACATTAAGATGATAATTAAAATAGGAGCATGATAATAACATATTTTCAAAGTAATAAAGTGTATTTCTAACATGTGGACTATCAAATGATATCAGAAAGTGCACTTTCTGAATGACCTGTCATAAGATTTTATCCAAAGGAATATTAACATCACCAGTTGTACTAGGAAGTCCAAGCCTCTGCAATTTGTCAGGAATGAAATGAAATCATGGAATATATATCTAAAACAAACCAATGTAAGTGTACACATAAAATACCAAACAAACATATCACAGATCTGAGACAAAATGTTATGAGTCAAAACTGAAAAATCATTCATGCTTCAAAACTCTCAACCATCGGAGCAGGAACACCATTGAAAACATATATAATTTTGACTTCAGGACATATAATCCTATTTGATGTAAGGGGGACCCTTCCAGAGTTGTTTAACTTGCCAAATATATATATATAATAAAAAAAATTGTGCTTCTTTCGCATTTCCTAGTTTGCTTTTTTATCGAATGTTTATTTCAAAAGCAACTTCTAGGAAATTCATCCAATCAACACTGACGATGACGCATGGATGTTTGAATTTGTAACATCCGACATTTGTAACATTTGTATCCGACATCATGTCATCACAATGATACAGCCCCTGAGAACCATTATTACTTAGCCTATACAATACTGGGTGCCGTTGTACAAAGCGATCTTAGCACTAAGGTGGCCGTAACTCCCATACTTTAACATGGACTTGAGGTAGCCTTAGCGCTAAGATTGTTTTGTACAACGGCACCCAGAGAACTACTGGGATATTGCTTGTTCAGACTTTGATACAACTTTCTGTGAAACAACATGTCCGACAGCTGGATCCTGTTTGTACTGGACAACGAAATATATGCATAAAAAACATTCCAACACTCTCATAGATTTTAAAGAACATGACCATATACAAATTCAACCACATAGACTGGAACTCTGTACCAATAATTTCAATTACCTATTGTATAACAGCTGATGCAAGTTAGAGACAATTTTTCCAGTATCCATACACATATCACTGACAGTCATGAACTGTCCCTAATTTTCCCCACCAATCAGAGAGATATATCCTACAGTTCTCAGACACATCTGCCGAAATCCTGATGGTGAAGGATGTCCGGTGGTTTTCTCAGACACATCTGCCAAAATCTTGATGGGTGAAAGATGTGCAACTGCTTTCTTCGGACACACCTGCCGAAATCCTGTTGGATGAAGGATGTGCAATTGCTTTTCTTAGATACATTCGCTGAAATCCTGATGCTGGTAGTATATGCACTCTCTATGGTCAGACACACCTGCCGAAATCCTGATGGGTCAGGAATGAATATCTGGTTTCTCTGGTTCCATTTGCCAAATCCAGATGGCTGAAAGAACACAACTGCTTTTCTCAGACACATCTGTCAAAATCCAAATGGACGAATGATGTGCACGTTTTTTCTCGAACACCATCTGCCGAATACAGATGGTGAAATGTGCACACCTGTTTTCCTCAACCAACATCTCACCACCACCTCCTGAAATCCCAATGGGTGCAGGATGTGACACAATGTTTCTCAGCCACTATCTGCCGAATCCAGACTTGTAAGGACGGCAACAGATTTTCTCACACACATCTGCTGAAATCCAAATGCATGAAGGATGTGCACAGGGTTTTCTCAATCACCATCTGCCGAATACAGATGGTGAAATATGCACACCTGCTTTTCTCACCCAACATCTAAGGCACCACCTCCTGAAATCCCAGTCACCATCTGCCAACTCCAGACTGGTGAAGGATGCACTCGTCCTTTTTTCAGACAGCTTACACATCAGTCTGTGTCAGGTATTAAACGAAATGCAATCACACAAAAACAAACATGTTTACATTTCTGTTTATCTTATTCAGTCCATTCCAACCAATTTTTCATCTAGGGATGACACTCCTGTAATTACCGAAAAAATGAACAAGTTCCAGGAAAAAACTAATATCATGTAAGAAAACATCCCTCCTTTAGACTTCTCCCAAATATTAATGATCAAAATCTTACTGATCACGAAAAGGACACACAGAGATTGCCAGAAAAGGAAACAAATTTGATGTTATAGAAAGAAGCTTGTTTCCTGGTTTTGTTGACCAGATCTATACAAATATACAACATGTCACCCACATTGAAATACAACAGTGCTGCCCGATTTCATATAATTACAACCACTCTCCACATCTGACATCCAGTCGCATCACATGAAAACATTCAAGAAAATAGTAGATCCAACATTGTACAAACGGACGGATAGGTGTTTGAATATATTGTGTACATGAGACAATTATCAGAATATTCAGCTCCAGATAACAGTGACTTTATAGCAAAGGATATGAAACTGGGCAAAACAAAACAATATAATAAATTAACTGGATATATAAATAACAACATTTTGCTGAATTCGACCAAATAAGCACCTCATGGATCAGGGAATCGTTGTAAGTGAGGGGGGACTGAAGTGGTAAAATGGGGTCATAGAAAAATAACAACAAAAGAAGGAGGTTGCCAAAACGGGTGACAGGGGGAGGTGAGAAAATGAAAGTTATATATTTTTTTTAAAACAAGTTACAAATTTGAACATTATTCAGGAACTGGTCTCTAATCACAGTCCAATCACTTTTTGCATCTGAGGAAAATCCCATACAAACAAATATGTAAATTAGCATTAATTTTGAATGTGTGTGATGCATAGAGCCTGAACATAAAGAATGTTGTCTGGCAACATGCAATAAACCAATGTCAGTTGTACCCCAAACCATACATCCTAAGATTCATTGACATAAACACATCAGCTGTGCAGTTAATTTTTGTTGGGAAAACTATACAGAATTCAAAAAAGAATAGTTCCATGGCCTGACCTTCTAGTGAATAATAAACAAATTGGGTTGTATACTCCTCAGGGCTTTGAAAATGAAAATGGCATGCACGCTGATCCTCTGAGCAGGCTAACAACTTGCTGTGCACTTGGAGCATGATATTTAGGATGGACGAACGCCACACAAATGAACTATTCTTATTATAAAGCAAAGCAAGAATGGGCATCACACATGTAGAGAATCAAACTTCTTATTTGAATATTCAATCAAAACTGCAAGAACTAGGCCCCCCACACAGCGGCACTCATTGGGTCGAATACAGCACGTGCAAAGTTTCATGACTGCAATCACAGACAATTTGGTTTTCATACAAGTCTGGAATCAATCACCATGATAATGGACGGTTTTGTCTGGACAGGATATAGGATAATAATTGTCACATTATAATGTGAGACTGACATAAAAACATAGGTAATCAGATTTCATAAAGTATTCGAAAACTTTGAAGGAGTTTTAATGGTTTTCCTTCAAAATTAAACATAAATCATCCATGTTGAGAATGTCAGTTAAATATATACAAACAATATCACTTGCCATAGCTGGTTTCCAAATTTTGTTAAACCTTGTCCGCTAGGTCCGACAACCAGGGATCATAATCTGGTAAATTGGTATATTTAGACACAGCTAAGGGACACAACTCTTCACAGGCAATGACAAGCATGCCACTAAACACACAGGTATTTTACAGTAATAACAAAGATGGACAGTTATTACAAGTATATCACAATTTACTGGAGTGTTATGAATAGAAGAAACATTTCTTCCCCCAAACCAAGATTAAGACAGGGGCAAATATAGACAGTTTACATAAATTACAAAAATAAAACAAACTGGTATTTTTCAAAAACATTCAAACAGGAATGATGCATGATAAACCAGCACATGAGAGTAACTGGTGGAATAAAACAATGTGAAATTGACTTCGTACCATTTAACAAAGTAGATGTACAAAAATATGTATTTTCTCATAAGCTGCTGCTATGGTGGGACTAATATCATCGTTGTTGCTTCATGTTTCTACTTTCATTCCATAAGAGCAACTTCATAATGAGGTAAGTGACACATTCATTGTAGCATTTAATAAAACATAAAATTCACCAAAGCAACCTGTATTCAATATGGTAATGATATTTGTTACCGTTTTTGTACATAATTGTTGTGGTTAAATTTGGGTTGGCATGAAAACATTGTTATCAAGTAAATTATACCACACTAATCTGTACATACTGGAAATGGTTCAGCACAAAAGACCTTTACACCTGACTTCATATTTACAAAGTATCTTACAGTTTGGTGCAGTCGCTCTCCTGTACTTGAAGGTATAGGCAGATCGACGGAAGATCTTCAGACAATACTTTCAAATACATGTAGTTCATCGGTGACTCTTAGTCAGCAGAGGTCAAACTTCTGATATATATAGCTTTGAAAAGGCCATAACCATTACCCAGAAATTGACGATCATAACCTTTACCTTGGTATTGTTTAATGAAGGTCACAACCTTCACCTTGACATTGTTTAATCAAGGTCACAACCTTCACCTTGACATTGTTCAAGATCACAACCTTCACCTTGACATTGTTCAATCAAGGCCACAACCTTCACCTTGACATTGTTCAATCAAGGTTACACCCTCCATTTTGACATTGCTGAATCAAGATCACAACCACAACCTTGACATTCTTCAATCAGGTCATTTTTTTATGTCAGGTCAAAATCTTCCCCTCGACAATGTTTAATCAAGGCCACAGTCTGCAATTCCACGTCAATACTGTTTCTCAACATTGCAAAATTAAGCTTCATACTCCTCTTCCCCCTCAAATGACTTTTCACTATCATTGTCCTGCCTGGAGTACAGATTGAGCATGCCACCAGGATAGGCTCTGTTGAGATAGCCATTAATATGCGAGGGTGAAGTTCGGATCGTCAGCATGGCATCTGACAGATGTTCTTGGTCCCAGCTTGAGTTTACACTGTTCCCGATTCCACTTGTTCTCCTTGTGAAACTCCCTGGTGGCTCAATCGAAGTGTAAGCTTGTGCAACCTATGGGGAGATAACTCAGATTAATTCCAGCTTAATTCAAGATCACACTACATCATATATGAATTATAATATGCATACAATAACAAAAATGGAAAATGTTTCAAGCTTTAAAGATTGAACTAAATAGTTCCCAAAAAATATATCTGACTTCACAAGTTATACAGGAACAGTATATATATATTTATAGGATAAATTTGAGCATGTTTCCATACTTGAACTGTTCCAAATAGAAGATAGGCTCGCAGAAGTAGCCATCAATATTATATGCATGATATGCTGTGTACAATAAGGTTCATCAATACTGGATCTGGATGTTACTGTTGTGGCACCAACATTTTAAAACAACACTGACAAAATCCACTTGTACGGGATGCACTTTTGTTTGTTTGTTGTTTGTTGTTGCCAAACAATCCAGTGATCAACAGCATGATCATCAATCTACGCAACTGGTATACAATGACATGTCAGTGAACCTGAAAGAATCCTGTTAGTCGCCTCCTATGACAAACACGGGTTGCTGAAGACCAGTTTTAACCGGTTTTCACGGGTGTAAGCCGATTGAATCAGGTTGTAATTTAATTTAATTCGTAAAATAAAGAAAAATATACAAAAAGAGATGTGTTTCTGTGATAAGATGGAAGTGGGACGGACACACATAAAATATGAATCGAACATATTGTGGAAAGATGGTTTAGAAACTGCGAAAAGACTTTGTGAAAAGATAACATTGTGCACCTATCCATGAAATCAAAATCAACTTGGCACATCATGCGCACATATCATCCTTGAATACAGACTATTTTTGCTTGTCTTAAGATTGAAAAGAACTGTAGTGATTTAACAAGATTAAATTTGCCTGTTTTTTTTACTGACTTTCACAGGATTTGAAAAATTGAAATTCTGATCATCTTAAACATATATCAGTCCTTACGTTTATTGTTGCCATATTCGCAACAAACAGTGTATCTTAAGGCTTCACATTTTGGTAACCATAGCCCGCGTTTAAAATTCCCGCCCGCCCGACCGTCCGGAACGGTCTATTTTCATCTTGGACGGTCAAATTTCAAAAGTAGCCTGTCCGGTGGTCTGGTAGATATTTTTACCCCTAAGTGTAAATATTTCCTAATATCAGACAGGTTCTCGTGTCGTCAGTTATTATGGTATTATGGTATTATGAAAATTATGTTAAACTACATACGATTGGACAGTTCATGTTACGATAACCAATCATAACACATGTACTTTCAGTGTATCTGGACTGGTAATTTTTTAAAGTTACTAGTCCGGCTGTCTGGCTTGGAATTTTGGGAGTTTTAAACACTGCCATACCCCATACACTAACCCCTGGTGAATCCCTGGAAACCCCATTCCTGTGGTTCTTCAAGACCAAATTACCAGCCCTTGATTTGGTTCTTTCATGGAGTTCCATGTGGCTGATTTTTATGCTTATCATTACAACATTCCTAGAAAATCGGAATGGAACTAACGACCTTGGTTCATAATCAGGGAAAATCTCAGACCAGAACCCACTACCAGCGAATCCTGTCAGCAAAGGGAAGTAACTTTGCACAGTGTAACATCCCAACCACTAGGCTGAGAGTGCCTCTGATTTTCAGAGGTAATAATAAATACATAGGGTGTGAGAAAATGGATTTAAAAACTGGATTCAGTGTTGCTGAAATGATTTGTATATACTGTGAAAAATATATACATAAATGACCCCTGCAGGTCAGAAAGGTGGAAAAGGAGATTGACACTGGGCAGTTACAAACCTGACCACTGCATCACTGAATGAAGGAAAGAAGTAAATACCCTTAGCAATTCATCAAAACTATTCTAATATAAATACAATCACTATACTTTATGAATTTTTTTTTTTTAAATAGATCTATAAAAATCACATCATGATAAAACAACTTTAAATGGAGATGATAAACGAACATCTAGAAATTGATGACATACTCAAAGAATAAATTTATCAGCATAAAGAATACATCATTAAATCATTGGTGTAAAATGTGGGTGCAAAACGTGCAGCAACAGTGCATTGTCATCATAATTCCATTGTGCGCGTCATTCAAAACAAATGCATCTGGTTAGTCGAACTTTAACACAATTGAAACAGTTAACAAACTTTGTTGCACTCATTTCTCACTATTCAAAAATTGAGGTAGCCATGGTAACCATGGTAACGGGGTGATACTCCTCTAAAATAAGTGTAGTCAATATCGTCATAGTCCTAAAAAACAGACATGGTTAGGTTATTCCTTGCATTTTTTTGCTATATGCTTCTGACATCAAAATTATCAAATCAAAATTTGAATTAGCCCTACAGAGATATGTATTCCTTGTTCACATAGCTCAAAGGGTGTGGGGAACACTTCATTAAATATTCATCTTTATCTCCACTGAAGGCAAAGAAAAGGTTTTCATTTCAAGTAAAATTAAATATGCATTTTTTTCAGCTTTTGAGGCATTGCCCACAATCATAATTTCATTCTGACCATTCTTTTGTGAGTTTGACTCATGGTTTATCGATATCTTGTTTCCACCAATTTTTTTTAACAGTTCAGAAGATATGAATATCGTTTATGAATTTAACTTATATTCCACTTTTTTAAAATTCTGGGTCAGTGGATGTATAAATGAAAAAATAAAACAATTGCCTCTGGTCTGCCTGTAAATGTTCAAATGTCCATTTGGGCAACCAAGAGATAATCACTTTATCTAAAACCGCCAAAAACTAGAAAACTATCCTCTTTGCCACTTACTCAAATAAATTTTACAACATGTAAAGGATACAAATGAACAGTAATTTTATCATATTATATCTAATGTATTTTCAACTTTATCTTGAAAAATATATTATAAAACTTTTCTCTTAAATAGTCATGAACTCACATTTCGATCCTTGCCTAGGCGCAGATCTTTGACAAGCCTATCTAAACTGTGTTTCTGTTGAGAAAGAGTGTCGACATGGTCCTGAAGTCTTGAAGTCTCCTCCTCTAAGAATTTGGTACGCACTTGTAACATTGAGAGGGAGCGAGTTCGATCGCGGACTGTCTCTTCCACCTCCGTCATCCTGTAAATAGTCAAGTGACCTGCATGTGGCAGTAAAGATCTGTCCTCCATCACATGCAGAAAGGGAGGTAACTCCCGAATATGCTAAGAAGGGAAGTAACTCTCATGTGTATGAACATTGCATTGTAAATTATTACAAAATTAGAAAAACGATTTGGGAAGGAGATAGGTTTTGTAAATATCGTTGTGGGGTAAGAGAGTATGGTTTGTGATGCTGCTTTTAGCAACACTCCAGCAATATCACTGTGGTAAATATCCTTGAAGATTGATGCGTAAAAAATATTTCCTTCAAAGAAACCTGTCTTCAAAAATGTATTGTGCACAGGTCAAAACTGCTTCTTCTCTTTCATGAATAGTGTGGTGTGTGTGCATGCTGAAGAGTCATATTCATTAGAAACACATTAACTATTTCTCTACTTCAGAGATTTAAAATGAAATATTCTCCTGTCATTAATGAATTGAACAAAAAAACAAACAAATTCACTCAAAGGATGTCATACTTCATATGAGAGACTGTTTTCTTCCAAAATTACAGACTAAAAGTGTTTTTTTGTTTTTTTCTACCAACAAAATGTTTTTTTAATGGGGCTCATTGAAAATTTACTAATTTCAGAATATGGGGTATGTTATTGTGAATCTTGAAAATTACTTTTGGTTAAAAATCGTATAGAAGGAAACAATAAAACAATCCTGTATGGGTACAAAGTCATTTATATTAAAACATAGGATCATCTACTTAAAGCACAATAAACAGCACTTAATGGAGAAAAATGGTCAGGTCTTAAAGTGTAATTTATAATTATATACAACACAAAACAAGTTAAGGAAGACCCATAATTGGATCTGTCTGTTGGGACATGTCCCTTAACTATTTTGACAAGTATATTTCAAATAATTGTTGCAAGAACGGATGTGTTGAGTTGAAATTGTGTTACCAAATGTTCAGGAATTTACTAACTTTATTCTTTCAACAACAAAGCACTCTACAGTATTACCCATCACCATCTAAAGACGCCATAACGCAGACGGAGAGATTCTCCATCATACACAAACAAAAATCCTGGCTCGTAACACGTCACAAAAATTAATTTGAAACAAAACAATCAATAGCTATTATTTTGATGTAAACACCTACTGTGAGAAAGAGTGGAGGCCTGAGTGAAATGGGCTTTATTTCCTACTCAGCCTGTGATGTGTCTGGACAAAGCAAACTAGTGGTTGATAGAGTGAGCACACATTCGTGTGGTCAGTGACTCAAGAATTGACCATTGTGACGACCTTGGATAACTTTTTGGGGTGGCATTTTAGAAGTTGGGAAGTACAATATCTAGAACAAAGTTCTTTTATTTCGTGAGTGTGACGTTTCGATGCAGATTCAAGCTGAGTGCGACCTTTCGATACAGACAAGCTTGACAACGGTACAAGAATCTGTATCGAAACGTCGCACTAACAAAATAAAAGAAGTTGTTAACCATGAAGTTTGCTCGATGTATTGTGACCGTGGATCCCTATTAAGTTACCTCACAAGTCAAATTCGGAAACTTGTCAACAAGACTGAGGGCACAAGAACAGTGAATGGGTGGGTTGAGGAAAATACAATGTCCCCCAAGGCTACGGAATGAGTATGTTTGGTTTTTGAACAGCACTAGGCTACCCTATCGACCCTCACAGCCTTCAAACATTCCGACAAATCTGGGATTCAAACAAAATGGGACATTAAGGAAACTTATTTCAGTAATTCTAAATTCAAATATCGAGAAAGAAGGCTTGCTGTGTGTGTGTCTTCTCTCTGAGCTGTGGGCAATGGCTAGTTTTGTGTTGTAAGCTGTGCAAGATGGAATATATATAGCATGGATGAATGGGTCTGTATATGGGTCTGTATATGGTTATATATGGGGCCTGTTATATATGGGTGTGGGTCATATAGTGACCATGAGATATAAGTTGTTCACTACTCACGAGGGGGACATGGGTTGATGTACCCTCGATGTTTGTTTATGAACATAAACAAACATCGAGGGTACATCAACCCATGGGCCCCGAGGGACCAGTGAACAACGTATTTATCTTACCGAACACCTTAATGTTAATTTTGAATTGTTTGAAGCATGGGTACAAATCTTTTTGTAGCCATAGCTAGATTTTGCTGACAAGAAAAACAGATTTAGAGTTATCTCCCTTCCATCGATTTGCATTCGCAAAACATCGGTAATTTCCGTACATCATTACGTGATTCAATGTTATTCGAGATAACAAAAATACTACCACGAAGTACCAAATGAGTTGCCATTGACAGCGGGGTACATTGAAATGTTACTCGCTTGTAAATAATTGAAGAGCACTCAGCCAATCAGAAAGCGACATTTATGTGTGAGGTAAGATGAAATAGATATATGTAACAGTATAGATGTCGTGTATGTATCAAAAGCTAGAAATACATTATTGAGGCAATACGTGAGTGTTTGTTTGGGTTTAACACAGTTTGTGAGTTATATCACTGCGTGTCAGATTAAATATGGAGGTAGACCCTGAGTGATGCAGTCAGGTCTCAGATGTTAACACATCGATGAAACCCATGGATTTGACCTTGGGTGATGAGATACACAACAATATTACAGAGTACCAATTTATTCCACTGAAAGGGTTGGGGAGTCTTGTAAATTAGTTTATACTGAGTGAAATATAATTATTTTGGTAGTTGTTGAAAATATATTGAAAAGGTGAAGTCACCACTGAATAAAACATTTGGAGTAGAACCAGCAACAAAGTTTTTAAAAAAACAAATGCATGAACATGTGATCAAAATATGAACTGTGCTATTTAAATTTGAAAATCTTCAACATGAGGAAATGTTCCACAGAGGCTCAGCTATCAGAAAGAGGCAGGTTTCAACTTTCTTTCTTTAGGGGTTCAAGTTTATGGAGAAGTCATGGTTTTAAATTAAGTTAAATAAAGAATACAATTCATTGCTTGTCAATAGCAATCAGTTACAGGTACTGTATGAAACATCTGGACTTTATGGACAACACATTGGCCTCAGTTGAAGATCAACAAACCACATGGCACACACAACACTCTTGTCTAGGTTTTCCTAAGTTGCTTTCATTTGTGTCAAATCATGAACTTTGTATAGCAGAAAGAATCTATTAGTTCTAAAAAGTCCACATTTTTATCAGAAAAACAACAACCCCTAACCATTCACATATTATCTGTAACAATCTGTTTTTGATATTTGCTAATGTGTTAACTTTTGAAGAACTCCTTAAATATTCATAAAAATAATGAATGTTTTCTGTGATACGATGACAAATATAACAATTTTTTTTTTTTTTAAATAAAGGAAAAAGCATTAATGTTTTCAGGCTCATAAAACACAAAATTCTAAAATAATCAATTAATTTAACAACAAATACAAACAAATTTTTGCTCGGTGTTAGGTGATCTACAGCAACACAGTACAACACAGTGAAAGCATGCAAGAAGCAAGAAAGAAATCAGAAAGTTTCACATACCTTAAACAAAATGGCATTTGAGTCGGAGAAGGCGACAAAGAAGAGAGGTACAAGATGAACAAATGGTGGAGAGTGTCAAACAATGATGGTCTCAGTGATAAACATCTACAAACAGGCTAGAACTTGGCGATACGTCTAAAATGACTACTGATATCCTACCTCCCAGGTTGTTTTCTAACTGAGTTGGGTTTGCTGCTTTTAAAATAATTTAAAACACTGAGAAAAGGCAATTTTATATCTACAAGATAGTTATTGCATCGTCAGTTTTGGGGAATTTGTTTACAATACACTTCTCCATCATCCTTGAATATATACAGTGACTATGGAATCTTCTTGTGACGTACAATTTTCGTCAGCTGTTTAAATTTTGAAATGAGACCATGTGTAACTTATGAAAATCAAATGAGCCTCACTGTTTGCAAGCTCTGCCACTGCCTGACATTGAGGCAGTGAGGTAGCAGACGTCTAACACACCATTACCAAGAAATATTGCCACATGTGAGATGTGATCTGGTCTGATGACGGGTTTCCTTCCCACTAGATACAGGCCATGGCTTGACATCTTGGTTGAAAATATCATAAAGCTGCCATATGTATTCACTGAGAGCAGACGGCTAAAAGACCATGAGCAGAAACATTGGTGTGTATCCCATGTAATCTGGACACTCATGGTTTTGCTTCCCGCAAGATGGCTTGACTTTCAGATGAAAAATATCATTAAGCTGCCACATGTATTCATATGATTAGACTCAGTGAGTGAATAAGATTTTTACACCTTTTTGGGCAACATTCAAGTAATATCACTGCATAGGATACCAGAAAAGGGCTTCACATATTTTACCCATGTGGGGAATCGAACCCAGGTTTTCAGTGCAATGAGTGGACGTTTTAACAACTAGGCTACCCCAACCCATGGTCCCTGACAAGGGATGGAGAAACGTGAACAAACTCCTGAAGTACTGCCGCTGCAATAACTATGTTTGAAAAATAATACAACTTTTCAGTATTTCATTATCACAACAATATTGCTATACACTGCATTAAATTGTCATCGACCACAACATGAACACGAAGAGTAGATAAAGAGGTGCATTTATCTGAAAATCCCAGGGCACAAGTCAAGGAACATGTCTGCAGTATAAGCAGGTTGCAGGGGTTTGTTCAAACAGTACACGATTTGGACACAACATAGAACAGGGCCAAGATTTTATTAGCTCTCATAGCGCTAACATGGCTGTAAGTTAATGTTAATATATGGCACTATCTTAGCGCTAAGAGAGCTTCGAAAATCTAGGCCCAGGGCCATTCATTAACATTAACTTACAACTATCTTAGCGCTAAGAGGGCTTCGAAAATCTAGGCCCTGGACTTTAATATATTTGGAGTAAGCTCTTGGGATGAGTGAGTGAGTGAGTGACTTTGGCTTTACGCCGCTTTTAGCAATATTCCAGCAATATCACGGCGGGGGACACCAGAAATGGCCTTCACACATTGTACCCATGTCGGGAATCGAACCTGGGTCTTTGGCGTGACGAGCCTACGCTTTAACCACTAGGCTACCCAACCGCCCCTTGGGATGAGTGAGTGAGCTGGGGTTAGTGCCTCTATGAACAGTATTTCAGTTATTCCACAGCATTTCAGCTTGAGGAAAGTGAATGAGGTCTGAGACGTCTATCAATTTGGGGAAGCCCTCGTGCTGACAAACCAAGAATCATGATCAATAAACACAAGATTCTGGCACAACCAAGGGATGCAACTCTGCACAGAAAACTTCAAAACATTAGACAACACATCAATGTCCAGAAATGATGAAACATTTATATGTGCCGAGATACAGTTCTGATCACAATGTTTTCCAAAGTTTGAAAGTACATTGTATGTTTCTCTGATGGTCGCAAGTACTGGGCAGTATCACCTACAACGAAGCTGAGAAAGCAAATGAAAACTGTTGCCATGGAATTGTTAAAAGCATGTTATTACATAAACAATTTCAGTTTCAATGAGGGTACGTAACTTTGAAACAATAAGAAATTTTATGAGGGACTGGGCCTACTGAAAGAAAGCCTATTAGGTGCATATGTACCATGTACTTCTGTAATTTTATAGTCATGAACTTATAGAAAATATAATACTTTGTAGAGGATTACTGTATTCAAGCTGCATGTGATACTGTTTGGCTGTTTCGCTATCAGTGTATCAATATGCAGAATATTTTATATTTTTCATTTTATATTTGAATTAAAAATACAAAATTTTACTTAATCAACATATAATTCTGGCAGCATAAACATGGTAAAGTTGGCAAGAATTTTATCTTTAAATGGTTTAAAGGTATCATTGACCCAAAGAGAAAAGCAAAAGAAAAGCCCAGCTGCTACTGCCCACAACATTAAAGTAAAGTATCTGACCTGAATGTATTTTCTTCAAACTTTCGACCCAAACTTTAAACAAAAACATTATCCCAACTGTACCAGCCTACCTTTTAATGATGGATGCATATGGATTAAAGTAACCGATGATGTTATGGTGATGGGGAATGAAATCATGGCTGACTATGTTGTACAAAGGCTGAAGTAACTGATCTCTATTAATCACTATAGGGGCTCTATCAGTTACTGATTACATTATGTTATCCTACAAGAGCATTTCTGACTGTCAACAGGTTGTCATACTTACTGAGTGATCAGATCACGCTTCTCATGCAGCAGCTGTTTATAATTGATGTCCATCTTTTCCTTCCACTCCAGCTCTTTTCGTAACGTTGCTCGCGTTAGTCGTAGATCTTCGTCCATTCGTGTCATCTGATCATTCATTCGTGTTTTTTCATGAGAATAAAAGTCTCTGAAAGAAAAAGGTGAGGTGAGGTGAAATTGGGTTTTACGTCGTGCTTGAGAATATTTCGCTCATATGACGACGTGCATTCGTGTGTATGTGTATGTGCGGCTGCTTGTACTAGCCCAGACTGAAGCTGGTTTTAGTGCTAGCCCACTGAGATACCATGCCACTGGTATGAATACCCCACTCAGACACATTATACTGACTCCAAGCCAACCAGTCCTTGTTGTACCCATCAATGCCGACCAACAAGTACCATATTTTAACGTCTTTTGGTATGACACGGTCGGGTATCGAACCCGTGACCTTCCGCTCTCCGGGCGGACACTATAACCACTACACCACAGAGGTGGTTCTGAAAGACAAAGAATCAATCCATACCTATCAAGGACACTCGAAAACCTACTCTTGCCACACCCTGTACTATCAGGAGTAAAATACACCCGGTACTATCAGGAGTTACTTCCCCTGCTTGTCACTTGGCTTTTGAATTTTGATGTAAATTATTCAGCTTGGACCTGATAAACCAGTGACTGAAAGCATGAGCAATGATCCATGCCATCAGGTCATAATGACACACAATCAGTTAAATCATCAGATCATCAGATCTCCATGTAAAATTGTTTTTGGTGTTCAATGTCACACTCAGCAATATACCGTCTTTGTGAAATCACCGTCATTTAGCTGGAATAGTGCTGAGTGCTGCGTAAAACTAAACTCACTCACTCACTATGTGAAATCAACCTGCACGTAATTATCCCTGGACCAGACGAGACACAAAGGCGGTCAATCCATTTGATCTTAGCCACCTCTCATAACAAGCTGGTACCAATACAGGTCAGTCATTGACATTACTTGTCATGTGGAGTTCCTTGAACATTTTATGGAGCATATAAACCAAAATTCATAATTAGGGCAAACCAAGGATTAGAACCAACTACAACCAGATCCTCTTAGAAAATGGCAATACTCTGCACATCACACATTCCGACTGAAATCCTCAGAATAGATCCATTTCAGAGGTAATTCAAAACAAGCAGGAGGTGCTGCGTGTGCATCTGTTCTGACAAGAAATCCCCAACATCTACCTAACAACTCCAATCTACTATATACCTGCAATCTACCATTTTGATGACATCAAAATTAGAAATATAAGTAAAACTTGCTGGGCAATTTCAGTGTGAGAAAGTAAGCAAACAACTTACCTTGCTTTAAGCAACTTCTCTTTCGTTCTCATCTTGCGATCTTCATAGCGTTTCTCCGCCACTCCTCGCTTCTCATTGGAGGAGAGCAGCTCAAATTGGAGCTCCTTCACTTCCTTCTGCAGTCGAGTAATCTGTTCCAGCAGTGTCTTCTTGCCGACCTCTGACATTTGGTGGCTCTGTAGGTCAAGGTCATGATCATCAGAAAGAAGTTATAACTCACTTGTCTATGAAAATTCTGCAGGAAGTACATCTGAAATTGGCTGCTTACTGCTGTGAGAATAGGTTTAGTTGTTGTTTAAGCTTACCATTTCATACGCTGTGTCACTCCGGTCCTGAAGCTCGTCCAGCTGAGCCTCAAGGTCAAGCATATTGTGCTGCAGAGATCTGTTTTCCTCCACCAGCTTCGCTTCTCTCTGTTTCAAGATGGCTACCTGGTGCTTCAACTCAGCCACAGTCTGGTCCAGCAATGTCCTGACAAGATGAAACAGAATTGTGATTTCTACACAAATATTTGACCATTTCATATATATTCACCCCAAGCTCAGGAATGGTTGTTTATCAATAATTGTGTCTGGACCACAGAACCCAGAGAATGACATCATGAGCACCCAGTTGTGATATGATGACTTGTGATCAACCAAGTCAACAACTTTGATTCCTCAATGAACAATTGCTTGTTGCTGCAGACATAAATCTGCTTAACCAGAATCTTGGGTGACATTAGATGAAGTATTGTGATTACAGCCCTAGCCAGAAGGTTCACTGGAGCAGGGTTAATCACAATTTGCTGCTCAGTCAAAATATACTTGATACTAATCATTAAAACTGAAACTATTTGTAGTATTTACAAAAGACCAAAAGCCTCAAAATCAGGTCACCCAAACACACTGAGGTAACCTTTCCAAGAGGCCAATTTATTCATAAAAATGTCTTTGAATGTTGTCAGCCAAACTTTATGACTGACTGAGTTTGGTTTTACGCCGCTTTTAGCAATATTCCAGCAACATCACGGCGGGGGACACCAGAAATGGGCTTCACACATTTTACCCATGTGGGGATTCGAACCCGGGTCTTCGGCGTGACGAGCCAACGCTTTAACCACTAGGCTACCCCACCGACCCCCAAACTTTATGGATAACAACTTCTTTTATTTCGGGAGTGCAATATTTTCATACAAATTCTTGTTCCGTTGCACTGCTTGTTATCCATAAAGTTTGCTCAATATTCTATGATCATATTTCCAAGGAGATGATTCACAAATGAAACCCTTCAGCTTTTTTTATATACCCTTTATTAGATGTTCACGTTCTCCACCCACCTCTGTAGCTTCTCGCCCTCCAGCTGGTTGCGGAGGCTGACAATATGTTCACTCTTCTCCTGCACATCATGCTTGTTGGACTCCGCCTGGAGGAGGTTCTGCTCCGTGCTGTGCATCTTCACCGACACATCCTGCAGTTCCCTCTGGAGCTTCTCCGCCTGCAATGTGGAGACACAGACCTTAGATGGGAGCCAAGGACAGCAGAATGGATGGACACAGGCAGTAGTGGAGGACATAGAGTGGATACATGACGCGGGTACATCTGGTCACAAATATTTCATACAGAAGCAGGGAAAGGTGAGAGTGAATACATGGAGTTGAAGATATTTCTAGATGAGAGAGAGGACAGTGTACTGACTGAGTATGGTTTTACGCCGTTTTTAGCACTATTCTAGAAATATCCCGGCGGGGGACACCAGAAGTGGGCTTCACAAATTGAATCGAACCCAGGCCTTCGGCGTGATGAGCAAACGCTTTAACCACTAGGCTACACAGTGAAAGATGTGTGAGTAGAAACATAGAGGTGAAGACTTCTGGATGCAAATAGTGGGTAGATCGACTCATAGAATCAGAGGAAGACTTTTAACAGTGGGTAGATCTACTTCTAGAAGACATAGAGGCAAATTTAGCAGAGCAGAGTGATGCACTAGAGATGATAGATTTGTGTTGATGTTGGCTGGGTGGGTGATATAGTGTTGGGCGTCTCTGTGTACAGGGAGTTTAAGGTGGAGGATGAGCTGAGGTCAATAGACTTAAGGTATGAGAGATTTGTTAACAGTACCAGTGGGGAAAAGCCTAGCAAGAGAGGGGTGCAGGCAGTTCACTTAAGAAATATTTTCATATACTTAACAGGCAGCATACCACACCAGCATGTTATCAGTAACGTTTGTCAAAGGAACAGGTGCTTGTCCAACGAAAAGAAGCCCTAGAACATGGTATGGAGACTTTTTTGTACAACTCCAGTCTTATCCCAGCACCACAGAGTGACACTACTTTGGGCAACAAGCTGCTCTGCCAAAGACAGGAGACCATCACAGCACTGAATGGTATGCTTCTTGAAGACTATGGATCTTAAATTGCATGAATATTTGCATAATTGCGTGAATAAGTGGATGAAGGAAGCTGAAGGACAAATGTCTTAGAACTGCGAACTTGCTGCACCTTAGACAAGATAAATTGTCTTAGACAAGCATACTAATGCATCTTTGACCAGAAAACTTGTGCATTAGAACCGAGTGAACCATATATTCTCACTCACAGAAATATTCGAGCTGTTTGACAGTGGTATATAAACAATCCGATCTGTACCAGGTGATCAAGTGATTGTAACACAAGCAACCATCCCTCATGTCCCTATGTAGGATGAGCAATCATAAGCATCAAGCTCACACATCCAAACACACAGCCACCTTGTTCCTGCCGACCCACACTAGCCTGCAATCCTCATACTGTTGATGCATAGAGACAATATATTTATTTTCCCGCCTCCTATCATTTCAGAATCTTACTCATGAGATACACCGTGGATCCTTCCAACTCTTGGCAATCCTGACAAATGATTACTTACTGTAAACAGTTACAATGAAACTCAAAGTCCCCACTAATTTTTGTTGTTATAACCATAATTTGTTATGTACATCTTGATTAACATATACAGCAAGTGCCAATGACCAAAACTGCAGTTTGTTGAATTTATCAGTATGTTATAAGTGTGTCCATTATCTACTGTATTACTTTTAGGAACACAACAAAACATTTAAAAGTGATGTACTATTTAATTTAATTATCACTTATTAAATGAAAACCTTTTATTCTTAAAATGAACAATGAAGATATATGTCAACAAATCCAAGGAAAAAACATCATTATAATGAGCAATTACAAATATGTAGCATATTATTAATTGTGCATATAGAGAACTGTAAGGAAGAAAAGATAAACTCAGCTACGAAGATGTGTTAGATTACTAATTTTATACATAACTTTGAAAAGAATTAACTGGGTCAGAAAGCACGGTTTTAAGCCACTTTTAGCATTATTACAGAATTTACAGCAATATCATTGTGGAAGAACACCTGATATGGTTTCACATATTGTACCCATTTGAGGAATCGAACCTGGTTCTCTGAGGTGACAGGTAAATGTTATAACCGCAAGGATTTTATAATACCACCCCTTCTTTAGTGGGCTCATAACAGACATGATCCAAACCTACATTCATTAATGACTACAGTGAAACCTGTCTAAAGCGGGACCCCACAGGACCGAAATAAAATGCCGGTTTAGACAGTGACGATCATTTTCCAACATGGCTGCCATTTACACTCGTCAATATCTTTATCTCTATAATGCCTTTGATCCTTTGTAATTGTGCAACAACTTTAAACAATGTTGATGACAGATACACACTCTCTGACACATGTCACTCACTTGAAAACAGTTAATGCAATCCCCTAGTGTTTATAAAGCTTAACCGCAGTAATTCGGCTTAGAGCGTTGATTTGCAGCGCACTATGAGTGCTACTTCCTGATTATCTAGTGAGGGGAGAGTATTGGGATTATAGATCCTTGACTGGACTGCTCATACCCATGCCAGTTTAGACAGTGTTAATTACAATTAAAATTGCTTGTTGGGACTGGAAAGTCGTGCTGGAATACGGAATAGACAGGTGCCGGATTAGACAATGTTTTAATGATCATAATATTGTTGTACAATGGCGGGACCAAAATTTTATGCCATTTTTGACAGCGAGCCTGATTAGACAGGTGCTGGTGTTGGCATGTTTCACTGTATATTGAAACACCACCACTGAAGATGGTCTTCATTCACTGAGATGGAATGAGTGTGGTTAACACCACATTGAGCTGTCTTTCTGTTTTATCCGAGTGTGGGGTTGACAGAAACTCTGAGGCGAACATGACATTGAGGTGTATCAAGTCAATGTCTGACCATGGCCATGGAACAGACACACCAACGATCAGGACAATTCTGGGATTCAAACCCATGACCATCAGATCCTACCATCCAAGGGATGCAACTCTGTTCAACTTGCTACAAGACTGCTTTATACAGCAGTCTGTAAAACTGAAAATTTCCTTCAATCTTATCAACTCACCATTCTGCATCCATCACATAGAGCATTGTTAACACTGTCTTCAACTCACCATTTGACAACTTTTACATAAAGTGACAGTAACACTTTCAACAGTACTACAGTATCTTGTGGTAATGCTTTCAGCCAAAAGTAGGAGGAACTTCAAGCTTGAAGTACAGTCAAATCCCGATGAGTCGAATCGCTGGGGACCAAGTAATAAATTGACTTATCGATGTATTCGAGACATAAGTATGTCTATGTGTGTAGAAAAAAAGATGATCCAGTCCTAATTTCTCCGCCTAAGCATTTGTTTATCTAATGATTTCCATATAACTAATAGGAGCACCTTATCAGTTCCAGTCTGATTAGCACAGACAGTCATTTCCGTAAAATCACTAATCTGCCTTTTGAACTCACCCGTCAATGGCGGAAAGGTGTGAGCCGCGCTGGTTTGTTAATTGGATCAGTTTGCTACACCAATCAACTTCTCATTGACTGACTTCGGCTTATGTATACAAGATTGCTGTTGTTTGAATCTCATGGGACCAAATTTCCTTCCCGAGTCATCGTGTGTAATTATGAGACGAATTCGTGTAACCGGTATTCAAATGATGACAACTATAAGAGGGAATGGTCGGGACCGACAGGTACTTCGAGTTATGCAGAATATTCGAGACACCGGCATTCGACTCATCGGGATTTGACTGTATATATTTACCACTCTGGTGAGACCCTCAACCATCACCAGGTTTTGGTATTGATAAATCTAGTACCATAATCAGCCTGAATCTGAGATCAGAACACAGGATCATATGTTTCTGAAATGCCTCACCAACAACTCAGCACTGAAGCATATTTGACAAAAGGGGCACTGGTTCCCTTGTTTTTTGGACAAAATGTCCATCAAACAGAGACATGAACATTAAATAATCAGGAATATATTTGCAGGATTGTATGTGAAAACAACTCTCCAACTGGAACCAAATTACCTAAATAAATTTCAGTGAAAACATGCAATACACACTACTTAAAAGCAGTTAAAGATAACTGGATTCTTTGATATTATTATACTTAATATGTTATGGCTTGACAGATTAACTAGAGTAGTCTGAACAAATCAGGTTTCTGTTTGACTCGAGCATGAATTACATAACTGATCTGCAAAATATTCCTAACCAGCTAAAACTTAGTATGGTCAACAATCAGGTGGACTGACTAATATTATATATGATACAACAAAATATTTATGTCAAAGCATATATTAGTTGTTTTATCTGACAGATTAAGAGAATAAACATTGAAGATTATGTTCCTTGTTTTAATGTGTTTATAAAAGCATTAAGGATTTGATATGTATAAATACCTTTATGAAACTCAATTTTAAACACAAACAAAAGCTGTCATCATCACTAACGTCTATATTTCAACAGCAGTTAAGCAGAAAATAGCAGAATATTGACGGCGGCATATAATCAAAACAAACATCACAAACAACACAGAAAAATCTACAACTAAAACAAACTTTATCCGTTCCAAAAGAAACATGAATCTAATTCTAAATTCTACAAAAACAAACAGAACTCAAGATTAATATATTTCACACACTTAAATTGATTTTAAAATGATCTGTAATAAAACTTTCAAACATGCATCTACTTACTATGGTTTATTCATCTTAAACATGGAAACATTTAAGCTAATCAAAAGACTGGTCCTTTATTAAATGGGGGTGTTTGAATGTTGTCTTGGTTAACGGACTGTACCTCCCTCCACCCTACCCCCAACAAAACACAAATGTATAATTTTAGAAAAAAAATCCTGAATTTAGTTTGGGCAAACTCTACTTTCATTTTGCTCTGACATTTTTTGCTGAAGAGGTCGTTGTCAGCACTGGTACTATTGATATGTATCTGCATACAGAAATGTACCCTAAATAAAGTCACAATATCGTTACATGCTTGGTACCGTTAACAGCAGACCAGTCCATGTTCCTCAACCAAAACCGAAAGCGGTTCACATTATGGACCAGGTGTTCGCCACATTACGAACGATACTGTGCATCACGAAATTTTCAACACTGTTTATATTCGTTTTTTACATAATGCAATCGAATTCATCTCAGACAACAGGATGACAGTTTGGATCAAGAAAATAGTGCAGAATAGACTTATTCTAGGGTACGTTTCAGTACTCTCATTTTGGCTAGGTACGTTTCTGTATACCTGAGGTACATATCTGTAATAGTTGTGCCGACGACCCCTTAAACGAAATTTTCTATGGAAGCCACACCCTTCACCCCCCTCCGACCCCAACTACCCACACCCCCAAGTGTAATAAATGACCAGTCACGAACGTGGAAACTTTTAACTGACTAACCAAAGTATGCATTACACACATCTAATACACGTGTTAAATAGACAGACTGTGCAGATATCAGTGCCATCAGCTGAGCTTGAGAAGACAAAGGAAGAAGGGAGATAACTACAGTTACTTACTTTGGTAATTAAAGGTTGGAGAGAGAGTTCTGTAACCTTTAATATAAAGTTCAGGAGGAAATGAGTTGCGTCCCTATGATAATATTCTCAAGAGCATTTTAATCTCAACAAAGGAATGGTGAAAAAAGTGTTTCATATAAAAATCAAACTCTGTACATAAAATGATGCTAATAGATAACAGAAAGAAAGATGAACATTGAAATAAAGGATAAAGTCGAAATATTTTTGGACATGAAGATGTGCAAGTTTATTAGTTCTATTTTAACTGAACAATTTTAACATGCTTAATTTCAGTATTTTCATGATACATTGACATGTAGGAGATGGTATTTAGAACGTATGATCATTGCGCAACAAATTCTTACAATGAATATTACCACTTTGTTGTGTCCATTGATTGTGTTGTTCAAACTGGTTATTCAAAATTTAACACCTGATTAATAGAATGTTAGGCTAGTCCCCATGAAAACTAAATATATGCTAGGATCTTCTCTGTTTGTTATTTGGTTTACAGAGTTAGTTGTCAAAACTGTCGGGTTGATTATTATAAAATTCATCAAAGGGTTATCTTTCAAAACAAGTTCAGTGGCTTTTCAAATAAGAGCATTACCTGATGTGTTTCTTAAATGAACACAATTACCTCCCATTCAATATATTTTATGTAATTGTAGCTTTAAAATCTTGCCTGCACAGAAAGATCCCAGATAGGACTCAACCTGACAAAAGTACAAGAATCTGTACTTTACTGAGAAAGTGTAATACCAATTCTCATGTAAGAATGTCGAGTTTGATTGGTTCACGTGACTCTGATAAAATACCATGTACACCCGTTACGATCCACGAGCAGGGAGTACAAAAGTCATATTATCCCGCCACGCCTCGGTGACCACACGAAGTGAGAAAAGTGTGCATCGCCAGGCCTTTAGTAACGTGCGCTGCATTGAGGTCAATCGATCAGCTGGTGTCAACATGGCAGCAAGGAAACGTTTTGCCACAACTGAGAATGAAACTGAAGCAAAACATTCGGCTAGATACCCAGCTGAAAAGGCACCATGGTTGACCATGGTCAACCATGGCTTACCACGGAAAACCATGGTATTACCATGGTTTACCATGCTAAACCGTGGTCACTAACATTTCTCACCATGGTAGACCATGGTAGACCATGGTCACCATGGTATACCACAGCAGACCATGGTCATTATAGACCATGGTCACCAGAAACCATGGTAGACCATGGTCACCAACATTTCTCCCCATGGTATACCACAGCAGACCATGGTCATTCTAGACAATGGTCACCAGAAACCAGGGTAGACCATGGTCATCTTAAACAAAACTATGGTAGACCATGGTGTTGTTCTCATACAAAGTAATGGTTGACCATGGTCATCACAGACAAATCTATGGTAGACCATGGTCATGACAGACCAATTTTACATTTCAAACTGTGATAAATAAAAAAATTAAAATTGAAATCCTGACTGTTTCATGACATTGTGTTTCATTTATGAATAACAAAATAGCGGGGATTCAATGAATGAAGTGTTTACACAGGCATTATACTAATAGCATTACAAAGGACGGTGTAAAACATCCCAGATGAAAAATGATTTTCCTGAGTTAGTTTGCCTTTAATGAATATTCATGACAGATACCTTACAGATCCTTGTTTTTACGTCTGTGTGCATTAAACAACTAAAATTGAACACTTCACTCGTGAGAGACAAGTTAAAATGAAGTGTGTTTTAATGAAAAATACACGAACACAATGTCATAAAAAAACAATTATCAACGGGAACAGTTCACGTAATTTAACTTTCTCATTGTTGCTACAGAAACACACAAACAAATAAGGAACAAAGGACGTCTTATACACTTGAAAATCAAAACAAAATTAACCCTCCGTACATTTGAAAATAAAATAATTTTGCCCGTCCCGTTTGCTAAAGTTGCCCATTAAACTGTGTAAACCCCGTCTCTCATGGTCTTACTAGCTTTTGTGCCTGGTTGCCTTTAGTTTTTGATTTTTCAAAAAATACAGCAACAACAAAAACAAAGCACGACAGAAACGAAACAATGGTTGACCATGGTACACCATGGTCTCTTTTTACCATGGTAGGCCATGGTCTTATCTTACCATGGTAAACTGTGGTGCCATTTACCGCACGTGGTTAAACCATGATAGACCATGGTCTTTTTTTACCATGGTAGACCATGGTATACCATGGTCTTTTTTTCACCATGGTAGACCATGGTCTCTTTTGACCATGGTAAACTGTGGTGCCATTTACCGGATGTGGTAAGCCATGATACACCATGGTCAACCATGGTCTGTGAACCATGGTCTACCATGGTATACCATGGTCTTTTCCTTCTCATTTCAGCTGGGTAAATGCGTTATCACATCGTGTCGAAGGAAATACGGGGTTTTATCAGTCCCTCGTGAGGTTGTACCTTACTCCGGACTGATAAAACCCCGTATTTCCCTCGACACGATGTGATAACTTATAATATAACATGTTATGTCAGCAAAAATAATTAATTGTTAGAACTGTAAACTTTATTACCTACCTCTATCATAGTTAGTAAGTAAAAGAAGTACTTTATCTCCAGTCTAGCCACCAAGTAATCTACCACTGAAACTGACTGTAAATGACAACCCTGAGGTCCCAAATCTTATTAAATAATATTACATACTTGTTACGAGCATTTAGAACACAGAGTGTGAATGGACCAATCACAGCTCTTCAATAAGGAGACATTATGTAATGTATGTACAGTATGTTCAGGAATGGATTAGCAGAGAGGGATTAACACAAAGTATATAGGAATTAACCAATGCTTTCTCAGAAGTGTCGCGGTGCTAGGGGATATGTAATTGCAATTACTTACACGCTTATCCTTATCCTTGAATCGCTTGATCCAAACTGTTGAGAACTATCTAGTTCAGCGTTCTCTATCAATACACTTGTTTTAGATAATGTGTAGGAGATCAATTCCTTGTTTAATCATAATTGTTTTTCATTAATGTAATGACAAAAACAGTTCAGTTTCTTAGTTTGTAGTTCTAAATTTTTAATTAGTTATCCTGATATTTCAATATACACTGTCTGCAGGAAAAGGCACTACAGTTCTGTTCCTAAAATGATATGCATGTCTACAAGATTTCAGCAAAACAGATGCTTGATTATTTTCTAGAAATTTAATTTTACTGGAGGTTGTTTAATACATCTTGCCTTCTCAGACATTATGTGTAGCTATTAACATGGTTAAGACGACTACAAGAATGACTTTGAGTCACCTGGCAAAGGGAGCGAGTTGACATGTGGAAGTGAGTGAGTTTGGCTGAATGACGCTTCAGCAATATTCCAGCAATATCACGATGGGGATGGGCTTCACACATTGTACCCATGTATTGAAATTGAACCTGGGTCTAAGGTGTGATGAGCAAACACTGTAATCACTTGGCTACCCTATCGTACCCAATGCTTCTTTGAAAACTACCTCGCAGCCTGTCTGATGAATACTTAAGATAAGGTCAAAATGATTCAGTCCAAGCTGACCAGTCTGAACAGAAAGTGGATTATTGCTGACCATAATCTGAATGCATCTTGGATTTAGAACGATGCAGCAAAGGGCTTGAACAGAAGAACAGCTGTTCTTGGTTTTTACTGAGTCAGTTCACCCAATACATTGGTCATTGTACAGTGCGCTCATGGTTTTGCAAATCTCATGCTTCCCGTGGTCAATATTGGACGACAGTGTTGAATAACTTAACACTGTCTTAACACACTATTGCTGCCGGACAATGTCATATCCTGGCCTTAGCAATTAGTATTTAGAAATAAATTCCATTATAAGGAAGATAGTTATTGTGTTAACATTTAGTTGGTGGGGAATAAGAACTGAGTCATTCCCTGGGCTCCTCAGCATACCAGCTGGTACCATACGCCACTTGGCCAATACCAATCAAGGAGATTTTTTACGCCACTGCAGTGCCATTTCTTCTAAAAGATTCCGCAAACCCGTCCAATATGGTTGTTTGACATGAGCCTTCAAATCAGCGACAAGACTTAAATTCTTGGAACACAAGTGAGTGAGGTGAAATTTAATGTCATGTCAGCAAGTTGAACAAGTTGAAGAAGTTTTAATCAAAGATATTTAAATAAAAATCTACAATCTAAGGACAATAGAAATACAACTCATACTCATACTTATAACAAGTTGGTGAATATTAAAATACTGAGACTTTGATACAAGAAATATCAAGCTTTTGGTTACCAGCTATCTTGGCATGAGAAAACACTTCTGACAAAAAGCAACATTCTACTGTTTAGTCGATTTATAATCTATTTATATAGTGCCTAGTTCCAGTTAGGCTGCTCACAGGTGCTTTGATTCTCCCTCAATCATTGGATAGGAATCTCAACTCCCTGGGGATCATACAACTATACAGTTTTTATGTACTTCAACTGATAAAAAGGACATTGTGATCATGCATTCATATTTGTGTTTTCACCTGTTGTGATGTAAATATTGTGTTAGTAAATGAACAGCTATGTCAATATTTAAATGTCATTTTCTATTCGAATATTATCATAACATTAAGAATATGCTCTCACTTTAGAGAGGAAAGGATGAACTTGAGCTAGGTTTAAGGTAATTCTACAAGAAACCTTTCAATTCTTCATTAGTACCAGGCATATTTCTCCACAAAGCTACAAGTGGTTCCAAATGAAATAAATTACTGACATGTTTATCTGCTTTAGGAGGTATATAAATATTATGGAGACTGTTCAAGTTATCTTTTTTCACTTTGATTTGTTAAGGATGTCAAGTAAGTTGTTTAATGCAGCTTAGAAGTTATTAATGGAGGTGATGCCTGGGTGTCAGATGTTTACCATTTTGGTTAATACCATGACTTCCAGTCTGGTGAGAATCACAGTCAGGGTAAACCTGGATTCGAACCCACAATCAAAGGTTTCTGGGTGTCCCAAGGGGAGGTAACTCTGTGCTTAAAACAACTGCATTATCTGTTATCAATGAATGATTGAAACTTAATACATTGAGAAATCCCAAGGGATGCAACTCTGCACAGCAAAGGGAGGTAGAATGAACGTAGAGATACAAATGCAACTAAAAATACCTGTGAATCATAAAAGACAATCTATTTTCACTTTTTTCGGTAGCTTTGTAGTCTAAATAAACCTGGTACATGTGAACTGACAATATCACAGAGGTTAAACACATTTTATCGTAAATGTTAAAATGTTATGTGAATGTTAATTATGTCTCTTACTGGTTTGTCTGACGAATCCATTGTCTGTGACAATTGAAAGAACAGAAACTATGAATCAATCCTTTTCTTTATTGGCCAGTTTCAGCAATCTGATGTCACATGACACCAAGACCTATCCATGACCAAGTGAGGTTCAAACCCACGTTTTAACCATGAAACCACCACTGTAACCACTAGGCTACCTTTACATGATCACATCACTGGACAATAAATGTTATTTCAAATTATTATAAAATAACTGTTCTTGAAATAAACTTTTTGTATATCTCCAATGAAACAATTAAAGTCTATAAGTGCAACACTGATTTGAAAAGTTCAACACCGATTTGAAAATGCAGTTATTATAAGACAGCTGAATGAAGGCAAATAAAATTTACTGATAATTTAGTTTTGAATTTCTACCACATATAAAATCTAAAAACTGGAGATAAATAAAATGCATCATGCAGTGAAACACATTTATGAAAAATAGAAAATTAAGAGCAAAATATGGAAAAACACCACATCAAGACTTTCAAGTACAAATATTTCACAGAAATACGAAAATGTTACAAAGTTTGATTTCGAAAATATGGAACAAAGATGAAAAATTATTCCCTGATCCTTTTGATTATTCAAGTGTTATATATCACATCACTCACATGCCATTGTTACAACATGAGCCAAAAAGCCATAGCTGCATGTAACAAGCTTTCTGATTGGTTACCTTCAGTTCTGCAGTCTCTGCTCTGCTGTATAGTGATTTCATGGTGGCCTCCTGACTGGCAGACGTCTGGGCATACACATTCTCCGCCTGCCTGGAGCTGCTGCTTCTCTGTATGGAGGAATGAATGTTGTTTTATGCCACAGATGAATCCCACTTTCCTCACTCAACATGTGTTTTCAGTTTTGGTCATCCTTGACATTTCAGAGGGTGCAACCCCTCCATTCCCGGAATCCCAAATACCATCTATTTTTTTATTCTGAGTGCTCATCTCTGAATCTCAAAAGCAAAATGATGATTGAAGCCCAGTTGTAACATTTGCTATATTTGGGATGACACTATTTCACAAAGTTTTGGGCTCCCACAATTGAATTTGACTAAACATCAGTTTGGGCACCAATCCGTCTTGTTAGACTATTGAGTATGGACCAGATAAAACAAGTCCTCTTAGAAACTATATTGTTTCAGCTGCTGTATTTAATCAGGAACAAATTAATTCTTCCTCACCCTCTCCAGTTCATCCTCCAGACTCCTCTTTGTGTTCTCCAGGTTGGCGTTCTTCTCCATCAGTGTGCGGACCTGGCTCCACACCTGGACAAACATGGAGAACACATTAGCCAGGGGCCAAGGTCACACAAATAGCTCAGTGGTCATTAAAAATCAAATCACTGCCATTATTTAGTATCAAACCTAAATCTATGCTGCTAAATAACTGTCCAAAAGCTAGTAGAATATAAATAAATGTTGAGTGCGCGCTGAAGTGCTGAAAGAGTTACCCACCCTTGCATAGATAAAACCTAACAACCAAACCTTTTGACTAATGGGGAGGTAAATGCATAGGAAGTGTTCTGGCAACAAGGTGATTACATTTAAGAAATGATTCTGAAGGTTTTGAAATCCAGTTGTTGTCAATAAAGCAGGAAATTACACGAAAATGATGAGTTAGCTGATGCAGATATCAGCCATTTTGAAACTGCGGCAGACTATATAACCAAATGAGAAAAGGATGCTGCTCAATCCTGAAACTTTCTGAACCGTCCAATCAAGGCTGACACTGCCTTACTTTTGTCACCTTCAAGTAAATGGTAATTCAAATACCTCATCAAGACTGACTAAACGTGAGCCCCAACAAGCAATTTTCCAGAATATCTCTACCAAGATTGACACTGACATGTTTAAATTCTAAGATCTCAGAATTGAGAAGCAAGTTTCTGAACCATCCCACTGAGGACTTACCTTGGTCATCTCCTGGTCAAGGGCCTGGTTTCTGTTCTCATGGTCTGTCCTGAGTTTGATCTCGGTGGTGAGCTGGGCCTCGAGGCGTTCAATGGTGGACCTGCTCCTGGATGTGTCGCTCTGCTGCTTCAGGAGTTCCTGCGGGAATAGTGGCACCATTTTGATATTTCATAGGACAAACATACTATTTTCCACCAACCTCAACTCTCAGTCAGGTTACCACCCTCAACTCTCAGTCAGGTTACCACCCTCAACTCTCAGTCAGGTTACCAGCCTCAACTCTCAGTCAGGTTACCACCCTCAACTCTCAGTCAGGTTACCACCCTCAACTCTCAGTCAGGTTACCACCCTCAACTCTCAGTCAGGTTACCACCCTCAACTCTCAGTCAGGTTACCAACCTCAACTCTCAGTCAGGTTACCACCCTCAACTCTCAGTCAGGTTACCAAACTCAACTCCCAGTCATGTGACCAACCTCAACTCTCAGTCAGGTTACCAACCTCAACTCTCAGTCAGGTTACCAACCTCAACTCTCAGTCAGGTTACCACCCTCAACTCTCAGTCAGGTTACCACCCTCAACTCTCAGTCATGTGACCAACCTCAACTCTCAGTCAGGTTACCACCCTCAACTCTCAGTCAGGTTACCAACCTCAACTCTCAGTCAGGTTACCAACCTCAACTCTCAGTCAGGTTACCACCCTCAACTCTCAGTCAGGTTACCAACCTCAACTCCCAGTCATGTTACCAACCTCAACTCTCAGTCAGGTTACCAAACTCAACTCCCAGTCAGGTTACCAACCTCAACTCTCAGTCAGGTTACCAACCTCAACTCTCAGTCAGGTTACCAAACTCAACTCCCAGTCAGGTTACCACCCTCAACTCTCAGTCAGGTTACCAACCTCAACTCCCAGTCATGTGACCAACCTCAACTCTCAGTCAGGTTACCAACCTCAACTCTCAGTCAGGTTACCAACCTCAACTCTCAGTCAGGTTACCAACCTCAACTCTCAGTCAGGTTACCACCCTCAACTCTCAGTCAGGTTACCAACCTCAACTCCCAGTCATGTGACCAACCTCAACTCTCAGTCAGGTTACCAAACTCAACTCTCAGTCAGGTTACCACCCTCAACTCTCAGTCAGGTTACCAACCTCAACTCCCAGTCAGGTTACCAACCTCAACTCCCAGTCATGTGACCAACCTCAACTCTCAGTCAGGTTACCAACCTCAACTCCCAGTCATGTGACCAACCTCAACTCTCAGTCAGGTTACCAACCTCAACTCTCAGTCAGGTTACCACCCTCAACTCTCAGTCAGGTTACCAAACTCAACTCCCAGTCATGTGACCAACCTCAACTCTCAGTCAGGTTACCAACCTCAACTCTCAGTCAGGTTACCAACCTCAACTCTCAGTCAGGTTACCACCCTCAACTCTCAGTCAGGTTACCACCCTCAACTCTCAGTCATGTGACCAACCTCAACTCTCAGTCAGGTTACCACCCTCAACTCTCAGTCAGGTTACCAACCTCAACTCCCAGTCAGGTTACCAACCTCAACTCCCAGTCATGTGACCAACCTCAACTCTCAGTCAGGTTACCAACCTCAACTCCCAGTCATGTGACCAACCTCAACTCTCAGTCAGGTTACCAACCTCAACTCCCAGTCATGTGACCAACCTCAACTCTCAGTCAGGTTACCAGCCTCAACTCTCAGTCAGGTTACCAAACTCAACTCTCAGTCAGGTTACCAACCTCAACTCCCAGTCATGTGACCAACCTCAACTCTCAGTCAGGTTACCACCCTCAACTCTCAGTCAGGTTACCAAACTCAACTCTCAGTCAGGTTACCAACCTCAACTCTCAGTCAGGTTACCAACCTCAACTCCCAGTCATGTGACCAACCTCAACTCTCAGTCAGGTTACCAAACTCAACTCTCAGTCAGGTTACCACCCTCAACTCTCAGTCAGGTTACCACCCTCAACTCTCAGTCAGGTTACCAAACTCAACTCTCAGTCATGTGACCAACCTCAACTCCCAGTCATGTTACCAACCTCAACTCCCAGTCATGTGACAAAGCTCAACTCTCAGTCAGGTTACCAACCTCAACTCCCAGTCATGTGACCAACCTCAACTCTCAGTCAGGTTACCACCCTCAACTCTCAGTCAGGTTACCAAACTCAACTCTCAGTCAGGTTACCAACCTCAACTCTCAGTCAGGTTACCAACCTCAACTCCCAGTCATGTTACCAACCTCAACTCTCAGTCAGGTTACAAAACTCAACTCTCAGTCAGGTTACCAAACTCAACTCTCAGTCAGGTTACCAAACTCAACTCTCAGTCAGGTTACCAACCTCAACTCTCAGTCAGGTTACCAAACTCAACTCTCAGTCAGGTTACCAACCTCAACTCCCAGTCAGGTTACCACCCTCAACTCTCAGTCAGGTTACCAAACTCAACTCCCTGTCATGTGACCAACCTCAACTCTCAGTCAGGTTACCAAACTCAACTCCCAGTCAGGTTACCACCCTCAACTCTCAGTCAGGTTACCAACCTCAACTCTCAGTCAGGTTACCACCCTCAACTCTCAGTCAGGTTACCACCCTCAACTCTCAGTCAGGTTACCAACCTCAACTCCCAGTCATGTGACCAACCTCAACTCTCAGTCAGGTTACAAAACTCAACTCTCAGTCAGGTTACCAACCTCAACTCCCAGTCAGGTTACCAAACTCAACTCCCAGTCATGTGACCAACCTCAACTCTCAGTCAGGTTACCACCCTCAACTCTCAGTCAGGTTACCAACCTCAACTCTCAGTCAGGTTACCACCCTCAACTCTCAGTCAGGTTACCAATATCAACTCCCAGTCATGTGACCAACCTCAACTCTCAGTCAGGTTACCACCCTCAACTCTCAGTCAGGTTACCAACCTCAACTCCCAGTCATGTGACCAACCTCAACTCTCAGTCAGGTTACCAAACTCAACTCTCAGTCAGGTTACCAATATCAACTCCCATTGGTTTTAGCCAACCTCAACTCCCAGTCATGTGACCCACCTGTTCTCTGTCTCTCAGCTGACTCCTCATGTCCCTGGCCTCAGCGGCAGCAACATCCAACTTCTCCGTCAATGTTGCCAACTCCTTCTTGTGGTACAGCTTCACCTCTTTCAACTCCATCTCCCTCCGTGTGATGGTGCTCTCATACTTCGCCTGCAACATCATCGTCATCAACACAACCCTCATGACGATCAGTGTCATTGTATTTGTACCCACTGTTTTTGTGAGGTGAGGTGAAATTGGGTTTAACGTCGTGCTTGAGAATATTTCGCTCATATGACAACGTGCATGCGTGTGTATGTGTATGTGCGGCTGCTTGTACTAGCCCAGACTGAAGCTGGTTTTATAGTGCTAGCTCACTGAGATACCATGCCGCAGTGAAGCATGAATACCCCACTCAGACACATTATACTGACTCCGAGCCGACCAGTCCTTGTTGCACCCATTAATGCCGAGCGCCAGGCTGGGACCAACAAGTACCATATCTTAACGTCTTTTGGTATGACGCGGTCGGGGATCGAACCCTGTTTTTGTAAATATGGATAAAAATTGTCATCATCAATATGATCATAAAATCATATAGTCATAATTGGTATCATATTGTAATGAGCATTACACCGATACTTTTGTTACAACACATTATCGTCTAAATCATCAATGGTAAAGCATCATCATTGTCATCATGGGAACTGCCATCCCAATTATCGTCATCAGTGAAGGTGTCATCATCATCATCATCATCACTTTCATCATCATCATCACTTTCATCATGGGAACTGCCATCCCCATTATCTTCATCAGTGAAGGTGTCATCATCATCATCATCATCATCATCATCATTCTCATAGTCATCATGGGAACTGCCATCCCCATTATCTTCATCAGTGAACATGCTGAAAGGTGTCATCATCATCACCATCACCATCTTCATCATCACCATCATCATCATCACTTTCATCATCATCATCAACCTCTACTATGTCAGCAGCGCAATCATCATCCTCAGCATCAGCGACAGTCCCATCACCTGATGAATACAACCCTACCCAGCAACTCACCGACTGTCCGACCCCGTTGGCCTCCAGCTTGAAGACCCGTGTCTGGTGTGTGTGGAGCTCCTCCCGGAGCTGTCTGTTCTGCTCCCGGGCCACATCCAGGTCCGCCTCCAGCTGCTGGATGTAACGCACGTTCTGGCTGTGCTTCTCTACAGGGAACAAGTGAGTTGCGTTACAAAGTTTCCAATTACATCTTGACTTATCTGTTTGATATGGGAAATAGCATGGGTAAAAACTTACAAAGTCCTGAACCTTGATTCGAAGATAATCATACACTATTGGAACACCTAAGGGACAGAACTCTAAACCAACTAAGCCCCTCTTCCCCCATGTCAAGCTGGGCATGCACTGTCACATCTCCATCAGGACAGGGCTATTGATCACTAAAGTACATATTTATACACTCAGTATGAGTGAGTGAGTGAGTTTAGCTTTACGCCGCACTCAGCAATATTCCAGCTATATGGCGGCGGTCTGTAAATAATCGAGTCTGGACCAGACAATCCAGTGATCAACAGCATGAGCATCGATCTACGCAATTGGGAACCGATGACATTTGTCAACCAAGTCAGCCAAACTGACCACCCGATCCCGTTAGTCGCCTCTTACGACAAGCATAGTCGCCTTTTATGGCAAGCACATGGGTTGCTGAAGACCTATTCTACCCCGGATCTTCACGGGTCCACTCAGTATGAATGGTTCAACAGTGATCTCATGATGATCATCAGTACATACTTTTATCTATCAGTTTTTAAAGCATGAGAAGGAGAACAGTGTTTAACACTGTCATCTGCAATATTCCAGCTGCAGCCTGTACACTATTGCATCGGGGTCAGACAAACCAGTGGTTGATAGCAAGAACAACAATTATTTCAGCGAATAATCACAACCAACCAACATTTTCAGATCAGACATTGTCAACACTCATTTCTTGTTTATGGAGATTATTAAAGCTTGCTGTACTTCAGTTTCTTGGACCCGTGAAGATCTGGGCTAGAATATTGATCTTCAGTAACCCATGCTTGTCATAAGAGGCGACTAATGGGATCGGGTGGTCAGGCTCGCTGACTTGGTTGACACATGTTATCGGTTCCCAATTGCGCAGATCGATGCTCATGCTGTTGATCACTGGATTGTCTGGTCCAGACTCGATTATGTACAGACCGCCGCCATATGGAATATTGCTGAGTGCGGTGTAAAACTAAACTCACTCACTTCAGTTTCTTGAAGACGTTTATACATTGTATGCTCTTAACAACATATTTTCTGCATGTACTTTAATTTCCAGGACACTGAGGATATCATGATGCAGACAGAATATGACACAACTGATAATGAAAGCTTATGTAAATAAAACCCTCATCAAAATCCTAGCTTGGAAATTCAAAAAACAAAACACCAAATTCTGAAAAAGGCTGTGCACAGCCAAGGTCAGAATTAAAATTTATTCCAGATCAATTCACAATACCTCAATATGTCAACAAATTAATTATACCGTTCTACAAGGCTTAAATAAACCACTGAGGTTAATTTGACCATTTTGTAAACTCTCTGTGGTTTAATGCCACCCTCAGCAATATTCCTGCCACATGAAAATCCAGTCTGCGCCAGACAATCTGATGATCGATATTATGAGGGACATTACACCACCAGGGTATAATGACACACAAACAATCACCCATCCTGACCACCCAATCCATTTGTTCCACTCTTACGACAAGCAACTCACAGTTCCCGTGAGTCTTTATACAACTGTAAATCTGAACAGTGAACGAAAAGTAACAAAACAAACAAACAAACATCAAACAAGTAGCAAAGTTTAACATTCCTTTTAAAAAAACTCCAAGACACAAGCAAATCTACTGCAGTGTGTGGCCATGAAAAACTGAGATAAATTCTTTCTCCCAAATTCAGTCTAAGTAAACTTCGTTACACAGCTGTAATGAGGCTAACAAAACCTTGTAGAAGGTCGCGTCAGCTAACCTTTTGGACTGACCAATCAGAACACAGCTTACCAAATCGCGAAAGTTAACATTTGCACATACCGTTTGAACCTTTACGTAAAAAACTCAAACGATTCCGAATGCTATTTTCGGCACGATCGCTTCCGAGTGATACACGCAATGAGTAAACAGTCACTGAAAATAGCATTTTTATCAATATTCAAGGATGTCATCTTGCGAAAATATAACCAAATAGTAACCATGTCATTAGAAACCCATAAGCGTATATACTGCAGGTCAAATATCTGTGTTTTATTCGGATTTTCGTTTGTTGATAGATCAGTGTCAGCGACCAGGGAAGAGAAAATTCAAAAAAACGTTTTGTAAGTCCCGCCGAACCCTAACAAGTAGTCTTCTGATTGGTTAAATCCATTCGGCCAGCCTGCGTTTGATTGGACAGTCATAGGTCGCTCAAAGGTTAGCTGACGCGACCTTCTACAAGGTTTTGTTAGACTCAGTATAGCAGTGTAACGAATAATACTGAGCCTAAGTTTACTTAGACTGTCCCAGATTATGCTTGTCATAAACACTTAACAGTTTGATTCAGACACAAAATATGTTTTCCAATTACTTACTTGTCATTAATTCACCCAAACTGAGTCAGAATGTTGTACCAACCCAGAATCACACTAGTGTACCCAATAGGCTCCCAAATTGATTTCAATAGGCTTTGATAATCCCATCTTTGATAATCCCATCTTTGATAATCAAGGGTATTTTATTCCTACCAAACATGGGCACTTGCACAAAGCAGTTGTAGTGCTAGGACTACGTAGCTCCAATGCCTTATCACCAATTTATTAAATTCATTGCGCTAAGTTCCATTTGAGAAAGTAAGCCCTGCATCAGCATCTTAATTTTCATCATCCATATTCTTCAAATACACCAAATACACTGAAGCTAACACACTTGATGATATATTGCCTTTTGACTAAAACACAAAAGCTCAGATTATTCTCATTCCTGGAACACAGTAGTTTCTGGCCACACAAAACAGAACGAAATTATAAATTTGTGAATATTCAGTGCTTGAACAAACATTCCAAACAGTAAACGTGAACATCATGCACAAACAATCAACACATTCAATAAACAATTTATGCAAAATCTGCGCTGAACCAAAAAGCATGGAACCTAGTTTGTTGGAAAATCTTCGAGGTAAAAGGACACAATTTCACAAATGTGGAAAAAACTAAGAAAACACATTTTCATTGAAATTTCAAACTTCTTACAATTTTAAGTAGATTGTTAAGTAAAGCACATCAAAATGAATTTAAGCAGAAACTGACTTTTTTTAAAAACATATAACAGTTTTTCTTATAAGAGATTTCAGTGTTTGAGGGATTTCAAATTCAAATTCGTTTTTGATATGTTTTAACAACACGACTGATGTTTTATAAAAAAAAACGAAAGACTAGATGCTTGTTGTGTTCAGCCAGATGGTTAGTATAAACTCGCCACACACCTGTACCTCTCTGTTTCTCTGTGTGGAGCTCATCCTTCAAGGTGGCACACTTTGCCATGGTCTCAGACAACTGAACATATTACAGGCAGCATCCCGTGAATAACGAAGTGATCAACATAACATGCAGATTCCTCTCAGAACAATGGCAAAATAGGTGAGTGAACTATAATTGAGCTGCAGTTTCACGTAAAATGTGAACAAGGCCAGACAAATTTAACTGCTGTTTTGAAGGTTTGGAACGGTTGAAAACAGAAGGTGAGAAGGTAAATAATAAATTTTCAATGGCTGCATTGTCACTAATTTCTGGTGTACAATACACACCAATTACTTTGGATTGAGTGTTTTAAAATAATACAGGGACTGAATAATATAGATTTTGAACCCTTTAAGACTTTAGAAAACACTTCATGCCAATTTGAATTTTTACTGATATTTGCTAAATATTATGGGTTTAATAGCAGTCCCTACATTCTTGAATAACAGAATAACATAACACATGCATATAAATTGGTCTGGCCTACCCATGCTAATCATCATTCTTAAAATTCTTGCATGCTAAATAAAAATATGTCACATGCTGTATCTGTGATAACAACAGTTAATTATTGCAAGACTTCTGAAACCTAGACTTTAAAAACAACTTTAAAAAAAGTTTTAAAAAATCAGATCATAAGGACATCATTTTTTTGTGGCACAAAATTCTTATTGGTAATATTTTGACAAGGATATAAAATATTCCCAAAAAGCTAGCCAAAGTTTTCAAATGAATTCTTGAATTAAGAAGAAGTTGAAGGGAAACATTAGAAACAGGCAACAGTCTGATGGCCTGAACAAACAGACATATAGGATTTCTAATATTCTGAAAATAGAATTCAAGGATAAGTGATTTCATTGTTTGTATTTCTATTGAAGTACAGATGGCAACTACTTTTTTTGAAGGAGTTTAAAAAAAAAATCATGCTGCAACCTCATGCTGCATTTTTAAGTGAGGCAAACTTTTGTGACAAAAGAGTGACGAGGATGTTATGCCGCTTTTGGCAATATTCCAGCAAAATTGACATAAGAAAGTTGGTAATCAAACCTGCATCTTTGAAATGAAAAATGAAAGCTCTGAATATTCGGTGACCCCCACTGGCCACATCCTGAGTCCGTCTTGCCATTCAATCTCTTTAAAATCAGATATCTATAACGACAATACTATACCTATCTGTTAAAATCTGACAGACATATGATCTCACAGTGGAAAAGCCCTTTCTGAGTGAAGGATGCCTAGATTCTTGAGTCAATCGGATGTCAGATTTCTAAAACTTTATCTTTATTACCGCCATGCCCCGAAAACAGTCCTACCTTCTTGGCCATCTCTCTATTATCAAGCTCTAGTTGTCGCGAAATTTCTTCCACTGTCTTGACCCTGTCAAGATGCCTTTGTCTCTCCTCTGCACCGTACTGATTGGCTGTCTTTGCAACCTCCACTTCCCGTTTACATCCATCCCGTTCACGAGTCACCGCATCGACCTTCTGTTTCAACTCTTTCACCCGAGTCTCTCCTTCGTCGCGAGAACTCGACAATTGAGAGAGTTCTTTCTTTGCCTCCGCAAGTTGGGTTTCAGTATTTTCGAGGGACTTCTCCGCATGATGGAAGTCTTGCTCAAGCTGCTGCAGTTTCTCATTGGACGCCCGGAGTTCCTGCTGCAGCTGACTGACCTTGTTGGAGGACGTCTGCAGTGCACCGAACGTCTCCTGCAGCTTGACATTGGAGAGTTCCAGGCTTGTCTCAAGTTCCTGAAGAAATGTAGACACACGGGTTCAACACTTTTCAATCAAAATTTCCTGTGAAGGCCTGACAGATATGTTCAACTCATCTTAGCCATACTAATGTATTTGGTCATCCCAGAGCTTACATGTGTAAGCAAGAAACAATGACTCACACCAATATCCCAAATATTTTCCAAATTTTCAATTTTGGAAATTTTAACTATAAATTGTATATATATAAACTTATCCTATCTCACGACTTGCACCTCTCTCTCTTCATTCGACCATGAGTGGAAACGAATTAAACTTTGCTCCAGGCCTTCCTTGTCCCTGTCCCCGTGCTGTGCATGCCTTCCTGCCTTAGCCATGCTCACTAGTCTGTGACAGCACGTGGCATGCGCAGTCCTCACCCAAGTGATCACCTTACATACTTATTCTCGTTCTTGGAGCCATACAAGGACAATCACAACAACCCACACAATCAACACACGATGTGTGTGGGTCCCAAGCTGAAAAAACTTTATTACCTTGAGCGCAAAACTTTCGTTTTTTGGCCTGAACAGGCTTATCCATGTTGAGCAATTCTCAGACGAAATAATTTTCACGTCCACTCTGTCGAGCGACAAGAAAGAGAATAAGTATGTAAGGTGATCACGTGGGTGAGGACTGTGCATGCCACGTACTGTCACAGACTAGTGAGCATGGCTAAGGCAGGAAGGCATGCACAGCACGGGGACAGGGACAAGGAAGGCCTGGAGCAAAGTTTAATTCGTTTCCACTCATGGTCGAATGAAGAGAGAGAGGTGCAAGTCGTGAGATAGGATAAGTTTAAAAATTGACATTTTCAGTGGGCTACAAAGGCTTTACAACAACGATCGTTCTTATTTGACTCTATGTGGCACTACAGAAAAAACTTGAAACAAATGGACTGCAATTCGAACCCAAAAATACACCATGAAAAGACATGTATTTTTCAGAAGAAAATTTGGTAATAATCACAATGCAGGAAATTATATAACTTTACAGCCTTCAGGAATTTTGGAAATGAAGATATATAGTACTGTTGTTTTGGTGGACTTGGTGGTTATCCATTTCAGCCTCAACATTCCACAAAAAAGTGAATACTTACAGAAACATCTTTGGAACTATCATTGGTACGGTTGTCGCCGTCCACCAGGTCCTGTGACTTGGGCTGGTTGTGGCCGTTGGTGTTGATCTGGGTTGGCGGTGCCGGTGCAGGGGGCATCTTCTGCAGCTGGGACAGTGTCTCCTGCTGGATCTTCGACTCCACCTTTGATGCCTCCAACTCTGCTGCTGCCTGCAATATGTCCATTGTTTATTTGTTTGTTGCTACATTCAGCTGTGTTCCAGCTATATCACTTGGCCTGAACTAACTGATTCCGGACCAGATAATCCAGGCATGTGGGAAATGATTCACAGGTTGAGATAACATGCACTTATCCATCACTCACTCACTCACTGAGCCTGACCCCTCAAGCTCAGCTGATATATTAGTTACATAACCACAACATGTTTAGGTTTAACGTCATCCTCTTCTAAGCCATATAATGCATATGCTCAAATTCATTTATGTATTTATTTTATAGACCAATTTTATTTCTTGTTTTACGGATTCTTGTCCTCAGAAAACCTAAAGACAGGAGGGAAAAAAATAAATAATATCACCAGTCAAAGTAACATTACTTTTAAATACTAAAAGTGTTTTACTTTTGGCAATTTATGAAGTGTATATGGGGCCAAAAACAACCAAAAATTATTTTTTTGGTAATTTTAAATTTTTGGCGAATAAAAACATTAGGATTTTATTTTTTGAGAAGGGAAAATTAATTTTTATTTCTTTTCTTATTCTTGAAAAATTACGACCGGATTTATTTATTTATTTATTTATTTATTTATTTATTCTAAAACACATTCTTCACACAGCTGTATTGCCTTTGGCTGCCTTAGCTGCAAATTGATTCAATAAATATTAGCCATGCCTTTTCTTTTACAATCATAATCATTATTAATGTTTCATTTTCAACAGCTGTAGAATAACTAAACTTGTCTGTTTCCATGGCAATCAGATATTCTTAACTCCTACCTGTTCATACTTCTCCTGTGCTATCTGCAGCTCATCTTGTGCCGTGAAGAGATCGTCCTGCAGTGCTCGGACACGGTTCTCTAGGGACTTCACCTGATAACACGATAGCAATGCCAGCTTGCAGAAATGTGTAAGTGTTAAAGATGTTTTTATGGAACATTTTTAAAGGGTTCACAGAGGCTCACTTAATTAATGCTGCATATATAAGTGCTGCATATATGAACATACTACCTGGTACCGACCCTGTTGTCCATGGTGCTATAAGTTTGAAGACACTACCAGGTACCCACCTTGTTGCCCATAGTGTGCTGCAGATTCTCATTGTCCATTCGCAGGTCATCCAGAATCTGCTCCAAGTCCAGGACCTTGGCCTCAAGGTCGTTCCGCATCCGTCGTTCTTGCTCTAGCCTCTCTCTGGCTGTCGTCAGTTCGACATCCACATTGCCATAATCAAACACCTTCTGCTCCAACTCAATCCTCTGCTTACGCTCATCCTCAAACCCATCCGCAACCATTGTCCGTTCTGCTAACTTCATCTCAGTTTCATGAACCTTCGCCTCCAAATCTGATTTTGATTTTCGTTCCTGTTCAAGTGATGCCCTCAACTGGGTCAGTTCCTGGATGCGGATTTCGGATGAAGACAGTTTATCGGAGAGGGAAGATTTCTCCAAATGTTCATGTTCAAGGTTGGTACGTGTCTTGGTCAACTCAGACAGAGTCATCTGCAACTTGGCAGTGATGTCATCCATCTCAAGCTTATACCTGAAATACATGGAATGAGTGAGTGTCGCTTTATCATTTTTGCAATGTACTTATAGCTACATCATGGCATCAGACTCTAACAAGGAGCTTTACACATCAGGAATCAGACTTAGGCCTTTGGTTTGGTGAGTGAAACCCTTGATCACACAACTGCTCCTCATGCAGGTGCACTGTCAATGCTTGGGGGTCTCAAGGAACAGGATGCCAGTGAAGATCTCAGTTAATATTGATCTTCAGTATCCCATGCTTAACATAAGAGGCAACTAACGGGATCGGGTTGTCAGGCTCGCTGACTTGGTTCACACATGTCATCGTATTGCATACATCAATGCTCATGATATTGATCACTGGATTGTCTGGTCAAGATTCGATTATTTACAGACCGCCGCTATATAGCAGGAATATTGCTGAGTGCAGCGTTAAACTAAACTCACTAACTCAAGGTAAAGGTAACCTCTTGGTATAGGTTACTCATTCCAGAAAGACCTATGCACTTACTTCTTTTCCAACTCATCATTTGAGCTCATAAGTGACTTCTGAAAGAAAAACAGACAGACAATGGTCAGAGTTGCAAATTTGTTCAGATTTTATCATGATTGCTCATTATCAGTTTCTTCAAATCAATCATCTTCCTCATCTGTAATCATGGAAAAAGGTTTTCTAAATTTTGACAGATGGTGAAAATATGTTGGTTGGCAAATCATTATGAGGCTTATATAATTAAATTGGAGTGAACTTTGAACCCTGCATGAAGATGACAAGACCAACCTGTGTTTGTAGAAGTGTATTTTCATTGACTCGGGTCCCGTTGAGTTCTGCCTGGACGTCGGACAATTGACTAGTCAACTTCTGATTTTGTTCTCTCATGTGAGACGAAATAATCTGGCAAAAATATTTAAAAACACTGCAATAAAGTCTTTGAAGTTGGTACATTTGGAACGTGAGCGGATGAGATGACTTTTGTAATAATCATTGAGGAGGTCAGTAGAAAACATTTTTGGCCAAATTGCAATGAATCACTTAGGGAGTTGAGTGAGTGGGTGAGTTTAGTTTTACTCCGCTTTTAGCAATATTCCAGCAATATCACGGTGGGGAACACCAGAAATGGGCTTCACACATTGTACCCATGTGGGGAATCGAAACTTGGTCTTCAGCATGATGAGCGAACGCTTAAACCACTAGGCTACCCCACCACCCCCACCCCGGAAAATATCTTGGTTCAGGATATCCATGTTAATCTGCATCATAATATCCCATTGTACCAGTACAGGTACTGGTGCACGCACACACGCGTGCACGCAAATACGCACGCACGGACGCACAAGGTATGGAGTCTCTCCACAGATGATGTGGACAAGGCATCCGAAGGTTCATTATTCAAATCCTATCACATTTTTTTTCTGCTGCACGATATCAAACCTAATTTAACCTCCCCTCAAGAAAAACATGTAAAATAAAACCCACTCAATGCATTTTTCTAAAAGAAGAATAACACACCTCTTGTTTGGCAAGTTCTTGACAATGTGTGAGCTGACTCTTCTTGATCTCCTCCTGAAGTTGAGCTATCTGATTGGTCAGTTCCTTGTTTTCCTTGGTCATAGTCTCTGTATTCTCACTCAGAGAACTCTTATCAACCTTCAGCGCTTCCAAATCCTCATGAAGTGACCTCAACTGACCCTCCTGTTCCTCCCTGGAGGCCAGAAGGTCGTCCTTGTCCCTACACATCTTTTCTCTCTCCTCATTGGCTAATTCGATTGTCTGTTTTAGAGAGTCTATGTGATTGGTCAGTTCATCTTCCTTCTTTGTAAGCAATGTATTTTGATTGGATAATTCCTCCCTTTCAGCCTGAGCTTCAGCAAGGTCTTTCTTCAAGGTTGCCATCTGGTCCGTGATTGTCTGTTTGTCATTCTTCAGAATGTCCACAACATCTTGGAGTGTGGAGGCCTTCTGAGACTCAGTCCTCAGTACCTTCACCTCCTCTTGTAATGCTGAGAACTTCGTTGACAGTTCCTCGTTGGTGGTCGAGAGCTTCTCAACACTTGACTAGGAATAAACAGAAACACATCAAAACCAGATCTTTACATCATTAGTTTGACCACTATAATTTAAGTAATGAAGAAATAACTTCATCATAATGGTCTGATACTTTGGAAACCTGACATTTATTTTCTACAATGAAAATTTCAGGTCAGTAGAGCACCTTATATTATTTTGTCCTTCATATTTACTAGCAATGAATTTGGGTTTGCTAAAATGTAATTTTCTGAATAAAATTGATATTTTTATACTTATCCTGACTCATGCTTAATGCTTGTCTCCTTCCTCTTGCGAACGTTAGTGGAACACCTGTATCTCCTATTGAAGCTCCCTTCAATATAGAACAGACGTAAAATCACTCCTCCCAAGAGTTATCTCCCCAGCTGTTTAGGCGGGAAACTGTGGCGCCACCGTCCCCACATGCCTCACTCTCTCCTGATTATGAGCCCGACACTTGAATTGCAGGGAAATCCAAAGTGTCTAGTGGGGAGGGTGGGCTTACCTCATGAGTCAGCTGGGGAGATAACTCTTGGGAGGAGTGATTTTACGTCTGTTCTTTATTGAAGGGAGCTTCAATAGGAGATACAGGTGTTCCACTAACGTTCGCAAGAGGAAGGAGACAAGCATTAAGCATGAGTCAGGATAAGGAAAAATTATGACATTTCAGTTGAAGTATTTGGTGAAAACACAATAGTAAATGTTGAATTTGAATTTGGGATTTCCACCTCCCTGTCCTACGTCAGCGTCATCCTCCTTGTAATACAAGTACCTGCCACTGCCTCTTCCAGATGTTATGTCTTTCTCCCTGTCTTATAGTAACCTCTTCCTCGTCCAGCTTTGATTTCACCCTCCCTGTCTCACCTCTGCCCCTCCAGTTGTGACTACACCCTCCCAGTCTTGCCTCAGTCTCATCAAACTTAATAAGTACTTCACCCTCAGTGTCTTGCCTCTGCCTCCTTCAGCTGTTACTTCACCCTCAGTGTCTTGCGTCTGCCTCGTCAAACTAGTACTTCACCCTCCCTTTCTCACCCCATCCTCATCCAGCTGTTACTTCAACCTCCCTGTCTTATCTCTGCCTCATCAAACTAGTACTTCACCCTCCCCTTCTCACCCCATCCTCATCCAGCTGTTACTTCAACCTCCCTGTCTTATCTCTGCCTCATCAAACTAGTACTTCACCGTCCCTTTCTCACCCCATCCTCATCCAGCTGTTACCTCAACCTCCCTGTCTTATCTCTGCCTCATCAAACTAGTACTTCACCCTCCCTTTCTCACCCCATCCTCATACAGCTGTTACTTAACCCTCCCTGTCTTATCTCTGCCTCATCAAACTAGTACTTCACCCTCCCTTTCTCACCCCATCCTCATCCAGCTGTTACTTCAACCTCCCCGCTTATCTCTGCCTCATCAAACTAGTACTTCAGCCTCCCTTTCTGACCCCATCCTCATCCAGCTGTTACTTCAACCTCCCCGCTTATCTCTGCCTCATCAAACTAGTACTTCAGCCTCCCTTTCTGACCCCATCCTCATCCAGCTGTTACTTAACCCTCCCTGTCTTATCTCTGCCTCATCTAGCTAGTACTTCACCCTCCCTTCTCACCCCAGCCTCATCCAGCTGCTACTTCACCCTCCCTGTCTTATCTCTGCCTCATCAAACTAGTACTTCACCCTCCCCTTCTCACCCCATTCTCATCCAGCTGTTACTTCAACCTCCCTGTATGACCTCTGCCTCGTCTAACTAGTACTTCACCCTCCCTTTCTCACCCCATCCTCATCCAGCTGTTACCTCAACCTCCCTGTCTTATCTCTGCCTCATCAAACTAGTACTTCACCCTCCCTTTCTCACCCCATCCTCATCCAGCTGTTACTTCAACCTCCCTGTCTTATCTCTGCCTCATCAAACTAGTACTTCACCCTCCCCTTCTCCCCCATCCTCATCCAGCTGCTACTTCAACCTCCCTGTCTTATCTTTGCCTCATCAAACTAGTACTTCACCCTCCCTTTCTCACCCTATCCTCATCCAGCTGTTACTTCAACCTCCCTGTCTTATCTCTGCCTCATCAAACTAGTACTTCACCCTCCCTTTCTCACCCCATCCTCATCCAGCTGTTACCTCAACCTCCCTGTCTTATCTCTGCCTCATCAAACTAGTACTTCACCCTCCCTTTCTCAACCTATCCTCATCCAGCTGTTACTTCAACCTCCTTGTCCTATCTCTGCCTCATCAAACTAGTACTTCACCCTCCCTTCTCACCCCATCCTCATCCAGCTGTTACTTCAGCCCCCCTGTCTTACCTCTGCCTCATCTAGCTAGTACTTCACCCTCCCCTTCTCACCCCATCCTCATCCAGCTGTTACTTAACCCTCCCTGTCTTACCTCTGCCTCGTCCAGCTGTTGTTCCAGATCCTCCGCCTCAGCTCGCAGGTTCTTGTTCTTCAGCTGGAGTTGCTGCTGCTGCATCAGCCCCTTATCCATTTCATTCTTCATCTTCTTCACCTAAACAACAAACAGATTTATAAGCCAATGAACGAACACACAATGCCATTTAGAACTTTGCCAAATGTAACACATGTTATACTTGGGATTACACTTTCTCAATAAAGTACATATTCTTGAACAGAGAAGAACTGAGAAAATGTAATCCCGAATATAGCATATGTTACATTTGACCACTTTCTAAATGGTACTGTGTGTTCATAGCTTTCAGGCATGGGTACACTTGTCAGAGGGCTACACAAAGTCCTTGGTATGGGCTAACGTTGGGAATCGGAAACCAAATCCACTATCGATTATCGGAGGATTGTGGTGAATGATTATTGATTATAATCGAAATATATACATGTTTAATGTAATCACAAATTTTAACGGTTTTCCCCCAGTTTTTTTTCTAATTAATGTGTTTTTATAACTAATACTGTCATGCAATGAAATGCATGCATGCAAGAAAGACACTGGAATTGTAATTAAACAATAAAATAGGTTAAAATTTTACAATGTGCATAGCTTTACGCTGTTGAGCGCATGTTTGTTCGTGAATATTCATCAAATTTTATGGTTAGTTTACTTCATTCAAGGGTGTTATACAAAAACAACAAAATTGCAATCAATCGAAAATTTAATCCTTCTTTTGATTTTTGATTTTTTTCGATCATCAAAACATTACTAGTATAGGCTACCAGTTGTCTGACTCCATTGTTGTGTGGCTGAGTGGGTTAGATCGCTGAGTTTGTGTGCTAGCGATCAGGTGCGTCACTATGACAATGTGGGTTTGAATCCCAAATTGGACCCCACACACTGTACCCATTTGAGGAGCCGAATGAGCCTGGTCAATAACAAATTTCATGACACTTTTCCCTAACACAATTTCTGTATAAAATATGTGATAAAGTGTTGTCACTGGCATAAAACCATACTGTTTTAGAAAGCTGGCATCTGATTGGGTGAAAACTGACAAATCCTCTATTTTGTTTACCCATACATGAGAATGCCATATCACTGTAGCAACTTGAGGCAAAGTTGTGGTAAAACTTCAGAAGATGTGGAAAAAGTGCTGTATGAAAAACCGCACTCATTCCGCATCAAGCCACATCTCACTTTGCAGTAAATATGCGGCTTTTTAAATCATTTTTTTTTATGCGGCTTCCAACACTGAATTTGACTTCATCTGAAAACCTTCTCATTACCTTCTCTTAAGTCCAAATTACCGCAGTGCGGCAATTGTGCGGCGGCAACACTGACTTAGAATATTTTTCGCTAAATATTTTAACCTAAGTTTTGAAGGCTCGCTCAGATTTCACCTTCAGTAAGTGAATGTGGTTTAAAGCCATTGAAGCAATATCCAGCAATACCACAGTGCAGACCACAAGAAATGAACTTCATCTATTGTACCTATGTAGGGAATCAAACCTTGATCTTTAGCCTAACAAACCAACACTTTAACCATAGCCCCAACTCCTACAGAGTTTTTGCCACATCCAGACTCAGATCTAGAGAAGTACAGAAATGGACTCCATCGCTACTTCCGAGGTAAGTAATGAATAATGAGTAACAAGTAATTATAATAGATGAGGTAAACAAACTTACTTCCTCCTCTTTCTTGCTGATTTCCGTCTCCATGCTGCGGATCTTGCTCCGAAGGGGGATAATTTCTCCCTCTATTTTAGTTTTCTCCTCTATGATCCTCCTGAGCGACACATCACTGGCTGACCGCGTTAACCCTCCTCTTTGCGGACGTGGACCTTGTAAGGAAACAGAACCAAGTGAATTGTAATCTCTTGGGAAAACATAATCAATGAGACCACATATCAATTCAAGGTACCATATGGTTAAATATTCTTTTGGGGCAAGATATTACTATACACACTTTGCTAGGGATCAAAGCATAGATTCAACAGAAAACTATGATGTGGGGTAAAATTTGGTTTAAATATCTAAGCTTATTCTAAGGATGGATCCTAGGTTTCAGTGTGTCATTTCATCTTGTGGATCCCATACCTGTTACTGACAGGTGTTGTGTATTTGTCACTGATGGCTGATTGGTGCCTAAAGAGGGGTTACCATATCATTATTTATCCAGTTTTAAATGGATACAATTTCTAATCATAAATCTACATTTAAATAAAGTTTTGAACTTACTTTCCATGAGGGATTCCTTGTCCTTTTGTCTTTCCTTCTCTCTATCCTCTTTCTCCTTCTTTCGCTCTTCATCACGTTCTTCCCGTTCACTCTGCCGCAGGTTGTGTTCATTCTCCAGGTCGTCGGTGAGTCTGTTGATCTCAGCTTCAAGTTCCTTCAGCTGTGTTGAAGACAGTTTCAGAATATTTGACCATACTACCATGGCACCATGACAATATAAATGCACCTTCTCCTTATATTACGTCCAGACATTTTTAAACATCTGGTTTATAAACACCTCAACTCGAATCATTGGAAATGGGAAAACACAAAAAAACATAAAGCAGTGACTTGTTTATTCTGTAAATAAAACAACATCTGTCTTTATGATATATCATATTAGTCATCCTCAAGTAGCACCCGTGCATGTCATCCTATTCCAATAACGTAGATCGATGCTCATGATGTCAATCACTGGATTGTCTGGTCCAGGCTTGATTCTTTACAGACTGCCACCATATAGCTAAAAACTTGCTGTGAGCAGCGTTTAAACAACAAATAAACAATGAAATCCCAAACACTTGTTTCAATCATATGACCAGTGTAAATTGAGTGTAAATTTTTAGGGGTCCTTTTTGTCATAAAATTCCAGCCTCAACATTTTTAGCTCAGTGAAGCACAGTGGTACTAATAAATCACAGGGCTTTAAAGAGTATCTTTGTCAAGTACAAGAACGATATATATTTCATCATTAGTACCTTAAGATTTGACAAATGTGTGTTAGAAACATAAAATCATTGATAAATATTATTTCAGACTTTTCATTACAGACACTCAAGGTCCAGAACAAGTTTCCTTCCTCGAAACCCTCACAGTCATGTTTTATCCTTAGATTCTATTTTCACCTCAAATCAATCTTGAAAATATGATGTTTTCATATTTTCTATTCCCTCTTGCTTCAAGAAAATTCATAAAACAATGTAAGAAAATCAACCAAACTGAACTAATCTTCAACCAACGTTGCAGCAAATTTCCCACCTTTTCTTTGGAGGAACCGAAGTCATCCTCCAGCTTGGCGTTCTCCTCCATGAGTGCTCCGATCTCCTCCTCGTGTTCATGTTTCAGTGCACTCCGCGACCGGTTCTCCTGCTGCCGCAGCTGTTGCATCTCCTCCTCTAAGTCATCACGCTCTCGTTCCAGGATCTTCTTCAGCTCCTCGGAATGCTTGTCCCCTGATTGGCTGTTGTTCTGCTCCGCCTCCAGCTCGTCCAATAGCTTTGCTCGTTCCACAAGAAGGAAGGCGATCTGTTCACTGCTTGTTGCCTTGGCAATCTCATCCAGCCCCTGCTGGGAGAGCATCTCTGCTGTTTCTTTCCGTATTTCATCACCTGATGAAGCAAGAATCAGATTAAATGTTCATGACATTCATCTAAAAGTTGTAGAATATGAATCTTGTCCTTAGTGCATACAGTCAACACACTCACATGAGCTCAGCAAAAATCTAAAGTCAGTTTCAAATGTGTCAATAGCAGCAACATAGACAGCAAATAATATTGTCCAATATTAGTGAGTATGGTTTTACACTACTTTAAGAAATATTCCAGCAATGTCATGGCAGGGGGGCACGACAAATGGGCTTCACACATTGAACTCTTGTGGGGGATTGGACAAGGGTCTTCAGCGTGACGAAGTGATGCTTTAACCATTAGGCTACCCCACCCCTTTATCCAGTATTAAACTGCTATCACCTCAGCTTTATCATGGGATTCTAAATCGACAGTCATGGTGTTAAGGTTTGCACAAATTCATGACGCATTTGGGGCTAGGGGTCAGCAATTTAGTGACACATTAATGTGTCCAATCTCTTCCCTCAGAGGTTACTCAAGTCATATCTTCCTTTGAACCGCTGTTCTTATATGGCCATATTTCCCGGTTTTCGTTAAAGCCCTAGTGGCAAAAACATCGCAACACAAATTATGTCCCTTCTTTCTATCTAATCAGAACATGTGTTACATTGACTTAGATCCAACTTGACTTATACAAGCAAATGTGAGGCCACAAATATCCTTCCTCTGATGGGGACTTATGTTGATGTGACACACAAGACATTTAATGGCTAGCTTGGCGCCATTGATCCGTCATTACATGACTGAGTTCTGTCTGGAAGAAATGTCTGCGAATCACACTGGGGAGGAGGTTCTAGTTTTCCCGAAGCATACAGAAACTACCGAGGCTTCGTCGTGAATGATCACTTTTGAAACAATGTCGCTGATTGCACAACTAAATCTGATTGCAACCAATCACGAATCCTGAACACTCGCACCATGACTGACTGACTGAGTTTGGTTTTACGCCGCTTTTAGCAATATTCCTGCAACATCACGGCGGGGGACACCAGAACTGGGCTTCACACATTGTACCCATGTGGGGATTCGAACCCAGGTCTTCGGCGTGACGAGCCAACGCTTTAACCACTAGGCTACCCCACCGCCCACTCGCACAATAAAAGGGCGGTATTAGAACAGAGGTTCGTAGGAAGATATGACTTGAGTAACCTCTGTGGGAAGAGAATGTAATGAGTCATGATTCACAGTAAACTTTTTGAAAGAAAATGGAGAACAAACATGTGCAATTTTAACCATTAATAGAAACTGGGCAGACTGGCAAGGCTGTGCTCCACAAAACCTTGTAACTTTATGTTAAAATAGGGGAGTTACGATCATCTCAGTGCTGCAATCACTTTGTGGAAAGGGTGATGCATTCAGTTCATGACGTTATGAACAATGGATGATGTCAAACTGACTGTTCTCAACAATGAAGCAATGTGATGTCATATGGCTTCAACTAAACAATCAGCATTGAGAATCACTAAAACATATCTGCAAATATCAGAAAGTTGATCCATTCTAACGTAATCGGTAATATGGAATTACATAAGCTGAAACAATATCCTGAATGAATGCCCCAAGATTGCAACTCACTCTCACTGGCCTTGAGTTGTTCCACCTCCAGCTTGAGAGCCTCATTCTCGCCCTCCAGTTCCTGTATGAGAGCCTCTCTCTCGTCTGACAGGTGGCGGATGTGTTCCACGTAGTTCTCCACCTCCTTCATCTCCTCCGACTGGGACAGTCGCAGCTTCTCCTCCAACTCCCGGGCCAGCTTCAGGTCCGTCTGAAGTCATAACACATTCGTTAAAACTACATGTCAGAGAGAGAGGGAGAGAAAGAGAAAGAGAGGGAGGGGAGGGGGGAGAGAGAGAGGGAGAAAGAGAGAGAGAGATAGAGTAAGTATGGTTTTACGCCACTTTTAGCAGTATTCCAGCAATATCAAAGGGGAATTGAGCTTCACACTCTGTACCCATGTGGGGAATTGAACCCGAGTCTTCAGCGTGACAGGCAGACACTTTAACCACTAGGCTACCCCACCACCCTCAATAAAGATATCTCAGCTCATAGGATATTGTTACTCCTGTCCTATATCATGTATATGATATCATAGAACCATGGTAGCTGTGTGAAATCTGGCCCTTTACAGCACAATTGAAAATGTAGTGCATTGAAAGTAATATATTTTGTATCCAAATTAGTTTGGCGGCGTGTTTAAATAATTATAACAAATAGAAATAGCAGCAAACTGACATTTTCATTTTTGTAAAAATACAAAGTTCAGAGTGTGTGGTTAATCTTCAATCTAGCACTTAAATTGCAATTTGTAATTAGGAAATAGGAAATGGTCCTATATATTTTCTGGAACCTATATATACACACAACTGATACCTATCCTCCTGCTTCTGATGATGTCACTGTTTGATATATAACATCACAAAGCACATAAGAGTGGGAAATAATAACCTGGTAAGTAATGGTAAGCACTGCTGTGTTTTAAGATTTTTCAACACTCTCCTACCCAGAGCTCCATGTGGCCAGCCAGCATAGTACAGAAAGAAGTGACCATTAGTCACATCTTGCACCGTCAATTCAATATAATGTACATATTTCTTAACTGTTTTATATTTGATGAGTCTACACATCTAATTAAACATCATTGTTAGACTGGCTTAGTTTCACTGAGAAAATATCCTAAAACATGTAGCACTATTTACATATGTTGTACGGCTCCACGTGCTGTCAACAAATCCTACGGAGAGCGAACGATGCATCCCCTTTGATTTATAAATATGTACTGTCATAAACCTTACTGTCGCAGATGTAGAAGAATATTCATGTAACAATGTAAAACATTATGAATACCGCGCCGAATCGCTTGCGTTGGGCCAGTGTCTTTTTATTTATGAATATGCGCGTTTGTTTACAAACAAGAGAAAAGTCTGGTCACGTGATATGCAAATTAGCCTGTGGCAGTGATGTTATGCTAATTCATCACTGCGGAGTGTGATTTTTCAACTGCCATATTGAATATCAAGGCAATTCATAGTAAACCATTCAATCCCCAGTTTACAGAGGCAGAAACCATCCAATCCCCTGTTGATAGGGGTAGACATCACTCAAACCAGGCCAAAGTAAATATGACAGTTCAATTCAGTTTACAGGTGGACACATGTTTGGTTTCCTGTTTGGTTTCACTTCAGACTATTCCTTCTAATCGGCATTTCGACAAAATACTTCCTTGTTTTAATATGTTTGATATTGAGGAATTCAACCATTAGCAAAAGCTTTGGCCATTAACTGGTTCTGCCCAAGAGCCTCCACAAGGTCAAGGACATGGACAACAGTTCAAGGGTCAAACAATGCCACACATGATGAAACATTTTTACTTTCACTTTAAACTTTTCAAACATTTTCAATTTTGAAACCAGACAGCATCAATTTATCAACAGCAAACTTCTTGATTTTGAAACAAAGAAGAGAAAAACTTGCCATTTTCAAGAAAAAGAAAGCAACAAAATGTCTTCACAAAAAAGCAATTAAAAAACATGCAATGAGAATATTTAAAAAAATAGCTTCAAATATAGAACTGATTTAAATCACTTCATGCACACATGCTGTAACAACTGGGTCAGCCAACAAACAGGTGACATATATATGTCACATGATAAGCTTTTATTTACGTAAACATTACCATAATATCAGCATTAATCTCCATACACCCCTGGAGACACTTGTGTCAAACATCGGACGGCCATGTCTCTCCGCATCCAACAGCTAAGACAGGTGTCTCCATCAGCGTCAGTTCACATCCCCCAACCCGTCTAATCAATGTCAACAGTACACTTGAACATGAGGGTTCCAGGTGGAACACAGATCGGATCGAGCACAACAAAACATATGTACGCTCAGGTGAGGGGTGACCTAATTTTAAATAGCACACCAGTGTCCAATTATGCAGTTGTCATAGGAACAGGTTGTGCACCTGTACAGGTAAAGTTGTTGAGGTGTACACGTCAGATGCTGAAAGCAGGTAAATCTTGGTTGTGACAATGATGTTCCTGTGATGTTCATCTGATGTTCATGTGATTATGTTTATTGTTTACATGTTTATACTAATTGAGGTATCACCGTGTTGTTGAGTGCTTTAAAACATAAACTGCTGGTGATTCCATAGTGAGTCTCACAGTTCCTGAACCACATTATTTTCCCAAAAGTTGAGCTCTCCCTGCAATGCTAAAAGCTCTAAATAAAGCAAGTCTAGATTTCCCCAGTTTAATATCTGGTCTCCCTGGGGCTCCTTTTCAATTTAAATGTATTCCTTTGTTACAAACAAAATTAACTTGTTTTTTTTATTCAAGGACTAAGCATTAGACTATTGATTCCAATTCTTTTAAGTTTCCAATCCAGCAGTTATATTTGCTTCCGTAAAGAGCAAAAAATATGTGATACTCAGATTTGTTTCCTCAGATTGGTTGAAAATTCATCTATCTGGGGTTGTGTTGTATCACTATTTCCCTATTTCGCTGATTAATGATGATCAGTAACACTCAGTTTGTTATTATTGTCAACATATCCTCTTAATGTTAAGAATTAAAAAAGCAATCTCTGAATTTATTTTTGTTGACTGTTATATCAATACTTAGAGCTGACTTTAAATTTTTATGTATTAATACTCTCTCGCCTATTTAAGCTTGTGTCCAGTCATTATTCATTGGACCATGACTGTGTAACTTATCTGGGTGGTCATTATTTGAAAGATTCATATCTATTGTGAACAGATCAAATTTGCTAGAACTGCCGACTGGCCAAAGTCAATATCCCTTTGACATTCTGAACATGTTTCAACTTGTCCAGGCTTTAAAGAGAAATAGCCTGTACTGTGCTCGGTGCTGTCTGATGTTCATTTAAACTTTTTGTTCGTTAAATTGTAATGTGTGAAACGGGAACCATGGCTCTTTCTTATGTTGATTGGATGATTTTTACCTGATTAACTTTGTCCACAGAACTATTCATTCTTACCACCCTGACCCTCAATCCCTGGAACTACATTTACCTGACATCAGTAGGAGAGTGCTTCAACCTTCAAACTTTCGTTCTCCAATCAGACTCTCTAGGCACTCAGACCATTGATAAGATGATGAATGGATGGATGGATGGACAGACAGACAGACAGACGGATAGATTGATATTACCATGAATACAGAAACACGAAATCACTCCGGAGACAAAATGACCATGTTGACAGGGAGCTTTCATTCAGGACCATATCCTTACCTGACAATTCTGGTAGAGTCGTCATAGATACAGGAGTTTCTCTGCGTCTGCACATTGTGGGTTTAGACCGTCTTTGGACAAATGGTCAGTAATCTGGGACTGGACGTCGGTCGGACTTTCCTGCAACACACGCATTATTTAATACAAAATATATGATGTAAAATGATGTTTTTGTAAATTAAGAAGCATCCCCATTATATATGTTTTGTTTTGAAACAGTCCCCACTGGTGACATTTGAAATTAATTTGGTGGGCAGGACAATTTAATTCAAACCCAAATGGCTAAAAAACATAAAATCGTAAATTACAAAAGATTTGTTCTGTCACTTCAAGCCTTATGACACAAATCAAAAGAAGGAACTGTCACACTTACAATGAGAATTTGTCTTTTAAGCATGTTAAATATATCTTCCCTTGTCATACAATGATACATAGCATGATTCTCAACCAACTCAAGGCTTATTATTCAGTTCTATTATTATTCCATTTTACAGACAATAAATAATAAAAAGGGAAAGATATTTAACCTAATTTTGATAATTTGCAAGTGACGGAACTACAGCATTTATGTTGGAGGTGTTAGAAAATAGGATCAGCATGTACAATCAGTGCCATCCAAAGTGCCAAATACCTTAGCTCCCAGTAGATTGCAATATGTATGACACTACCTGTATCGTAATATATTTTGTACAATTTCTTTGCCAACACAAAATATATAGTCCATCTTACAATACAGATTCAGGTGTATCGCAGAACTTGCAACGCAATGTCTTTGCCAAAACACAGTTAATATTATCAAGAATATCACAACACAATCAACATAAACACAATCAACTAACAAAATTAACACTCATGTAGGCAAAGTTGCTGATAGGCATGATGAGCAAGATGAAGATGGTTAAATTCAACCTGTTCATCACACCTAACATTGGACAAAGCAAGATGTCCTACCAGATTCCCAGGCAGTGGGGTAGCCTTATGGTTAAAGTGTTCACACATTATGCCGAAGACCTGGGTTTGATTTCCCACATAAAGCCCATTTCTGGTGTCCCCGCTGATATTTTCTTTCCCACCCACTCTCGCTCACTCACTCACTCAGTATTGTCAGCTACTCTCGTGTCTACAATGGTCTTGTGGAACTTTGGGGAATGATTTCAATAAGAGACAAATCAATTATTTGACTATAAACTCAAGACATGCTCAATATACAAATCCTAATCTTGATTTATAATTCTTTAATAGCACATATACCATTCACACCAGGTAAATCACAAACAACGCACTGGTGTCCTGATCAGGTGAGACAATGTGCAGCCATTGGGCTGACTGCTTCATAATCTGATAAAGATTTGTAATTAACCAGGTGTGAGGGATCTGAATAAATACATCCTGTGTGGATTAGAGGGATTTTTGAGTCATGCTTGAAGATTAGAGTAGCACAAATCTTCCCATGACCCCACCAACCAAGCTAACTAGCGATTGTCTTATCACTAATCTCTGGTTCTGTTTTAGCAGGTGAGACACACAGGTGAACCATGTATTAGCTGTCAACCTGGTGATGCTTAGTTAACAATGTTTGGGGGATCTGAATATGTTTATCCTATGTGGATTATTTGGATTCTTGAGTCAGGCACAGGCACACGTACATGCACCTGCACACGCACATGTACATGGTTTGAACATTTTTTTTGCACAAACAGTCGAGTCCAACAGCTTAAACTTCATCGCATGTGAGGACAATATCACTTATACATATTTGATTGGTTGAATTGGGAGATCTTGGTCAGGGAGCCCTATCGCTGACTACAGTGAAAAATTCATTCATTACATCTGCACTTGATTTGCTATCATCATAGATATAACTGTTATGACCCGTGAGGTTCCGGTCAGAATTGGGCTTCAGCAACCCATGCTTGTCCTGAGAGGTGACTAATGAGACTGACTTGGTTGACACATGTCATTGGTTCCCAGACGCGCAGATCGATGCTCATGCTGTTGATCACTGGATTGTCTGGTCCAGACGATTATTTACAGACCACTGCCATATAGTTGGAATATTGCTGAGTGTGGCGTAAAACTAAACTCACTACTTTGTACGACAATTTCCACACTGTACTTGCTTCTGCGTAAAAATCATCATCACCCCCCTTGCCATAAATTATGAACGGTCCCTAGGAATCCAAAAGTTTAGCAATCAAACAAGCCATGTACATTGTAAACCCAAAATCCAAGTTTTCAGAAACATTAATTCTTGATCCTTTGCCCCAACATGAAGTTTGTCAGTTCTTGCAGCCCAAATATCCAGAGAATGTCACCTTTCCACTCTCCAAGTTTAAACTCAAAACCAGAAATCCACCCCATGTCCACTCCACCAACTGATACGATCTCCACACAAGCCCCAACACAACTTAATCAAGGAAATCAATATGTCACGAATACAGTTGTGAAAGTTGAAAGAAAGTTCCCACAAAGAAGACAACTACTGCCCACTGATCTCCGCCAGTATTTATCCATAATATACCCTGGACATGACCACAGGAGACTATACTGGGCTCTCTCACACATAAACATACATTGTATGGTGTGTGCCTCCATTAGGCTTTTTGTCACCCTGAGTGAGTAGACCCTGAAAGGCTTGTTTACGATTCAGTAATTACTGTAAACAAGATATCACAGGCTTGGTCGCACTGAGCTGGATAGGGACACACAAGCTGACCTGTAGTACAGTGTACGAAATATATGCTGGTGACCTGTGGTCCCTGGCTAGTAAAAACTCATCAGGACCACTGAATGATAAGTTTGCAGTGGTCCTGGTGCCCAGTGAATTTTTCCCCTGAATCTACGATTGTTATTTTGGACCAGTCAAGTACAGACAGGACCACTAATTTTTTGTCCACTCACTGGTCCTGTGGTCTAGTGGGCAATGCTGAAAGGTTTCTTTCCCTTGTAATACAGCAGGTAGACTAGAACCAGTCTCCAAGGTAATAATGAATAGTTTAAATGAATATTTCTTAAAAGAAATAACAGACTGGCATCCTTAGAGACTTCTGAAATCCGGATTTGCATTGGAACACCCACATGGATATTATCAACATGCCGTGTGTCCTAGACTTATCTAGACTTGCCTCTTTAAAGGATAGAATTACTATACATCCATGGGCTTAGCACTCAGTACCACCTTGGAGCAAGGCTATACAGCAGGTTACAGGTGACTTATAGTCTGTTTGCGGTGAAAACGTACCGATGAATTTCACTTATGCACATTAAATGAAACACCGAGAACAAGGAGGGTTGGTCTAAGTTGATGCTCATCACGTACCGCACGTGCATTTGTTTCACTGTTCCAACTACTGCTCTTACCCCCTTGTAATACAAACCAATATAAGCGATTTGAAACTATGATCGTTTGTTAAACAACTTTTTTCCTAAGTGGAATAAAAATCTAAGATTTGAATGTTCAATTGGCAAGGTAGAATTATGAGGATTCGCAATCTTAATTTCACTTTATTCGATTTACATTTTTGTTTAAAGTGCAATTCACCGGTACGTTTTCACTGCAAACAGACTATAAGGATAAGTGTCAGTTTACATTTTAACATCCTTAGAAGCCATGTTGGGTTTAGGATTGAATTAGTCCCGAGTGGCATATGCTGGTCACTGTGTGGGGCTTCTTTGGGTGAGATTGGTCCCAAGTGACTAATCCTTGTCACCTTGTGGGTGTTCAGGGTATAATAGGATCTAGATACCCATTGCTTGTCTACCAATGGGAGATTCTGGGGTAGAAATTATGTGCCCATTACTGGACAGGGGGGATTCCGTGGTAACAGGTTGTTTACGAGTATGTAACCCATGAGTGAGTGAGTGAGTGAGTTTAGTTTAGTTTAACATCGCACTCAGCAATATTCCAGCTATATGTCTGTAAAAATTCGATTGTAGACCAGAAAACCCAGTGATAACCAGCATGAGCATCGATCTACGGGATATGATGACATGTGTCAACCAAGTTAGCGAACCTGACCCCCCAGCTCCTGTTCATTGCCTTGGGGTTTACTGAATATCACGGGTTGGAGTGTAAAAATGGCAAGAACAAGGTCCCCAGTTTATTATTATGATAAGGGTCTTGGGTCCAAGTGATGGTTCCGGTGAAACACCTTATCTAACTGGCGTGCTGGTCTGCTTGGGGGAATTAACTCAGCAAAAGAGTCCGAAGTCACAAGAAGCTAATCACACTTTTATTTACAAGAACGGAGTAACATGGGGTAGCCACAGAGAGTCGGTACAACCCTCTGGGCTGAGGGCTAGAGCTGACCTGTGTTGGGAGTCTAAACCCTACTGCTGGACAAATGCAGTTAGGGACTTTTTATCTATAATTAAAACAATAAAGAGATTACGATTGGTTCACTGATACAAAAACGGGAGTAACCTTCATTAGCCTATCAAATACAGAATATACAAAATGGGGTGTGTCCTTCAATGACCAGACAGGGCAATTACTCTTAATCCTGTTAATCCTAGTTTAACTGGCACTAATCTCGATGGCACTTTTACTGGATGCTTGGATGCCTACCCTGGACTAGATCTCAACGACCCTAATCTGATGTGTTTACTCTGGGCCATGTCTTTATGACCCTTAATTGGTGTTTGCTTAAAGTTTTGTAATATAGATGATGACATGTTTATTTTGTGAAAGCAGTTCATTTAATTGTCTGGTCATAACTCTGAATTACTGAAAGGGTTGCTAACAGCTTGAGTCCGTGATACCCTAGGCTAGGATTCTATCTTGGATATCTGTGAAATTGTGTAGCCGTAATTTATACCTTTTTCAATAGTATGTCTGTGAGATGAGTTTTACAACTTTTGACTGGAGTCTTTCTCTAAGCTATTACTAATATTCTATATTTATATTTTCCTAATATCTGAATCCTAATATATTGCTTGTAGTGGTAATAATGAATAATGAATTTTGTATGAATTATTATCCCATGATATTATGATGAACATAGTCTAATCAGAACATGTAAAAAAGGACCAATACAAATTCTTGGATTAAATAAGTCATCTGTTATTTGTGACTTGTGATTAATGTAAAACAGCTATTATTGTACCAGGTGCCCAGTCTCAACCCAGTCCTTGATGTTAAATGCCTTATAGATGTTTGGTTCCCAGGCCTAGACACTGCAATAAGTGCCAAGGCG